GGCAGGACAAGACGATCGTGGAGCATGTGCATGTGCTGCAGGAGGCGAAGCGTGTGACGGATGCGCAGCTCGCGGAGGCGAGGAAGGAGCTGCAGGCGCAGGATCTGTATATTAAGAGTTTGGAGAAGGTTAAGATGAGGTTGACGAGCGAGGCGGAGGATCTGGCGAGGGCGACGGAGCAGGAGCATGTGCAGTTGAGGTCTAAAGAGAAGGCTGTAAGGGCTGCGGAGGAGAGGGCGGCACAGGCGACGGCGGCGGCGGAGGATCAACGACGGGGGAGGGAGGCGGCGGAGAGCAATGTGAGGAGGCTGCAGGCGGACGTGCAGAGCGCGCATGATCAGATCGCAGAGGTTACGCAGCAGTTCCTGGCGATGCAGCGGGCGAAGGACGCGCTGGAGACGGATCTGGCGAGGATCGCGGACGAGACGGAGGCGTCGTCTACGAGTGCGGCGAACAAGGCGTCGAGGGAGACCGAGGCGCGGATCGCGAAGCTCGGGAGGCAGCTGGAGGAGGCGAATATGGCGCGCGATACGGCCCAGCTCATTCGCGAGCATATCGACAGGCAGCACGAGGAGATCCGCAAGCTCGTTATGGCGCCTGGGTCGCATGACGATACGTTCCGCGATAGACTGCTCCGCGAGATCGCGAGGTCGGAGGAGCAGATCGATAGCGAGATGCGCGCGAGGAATATTCCTGTTCCTGGTATCAAGTCGACCGTTACGCCTAGCTCGAAGCGGGCGTCGACGAATGGGACCGTGCGCGAACGTGTACAGTCGCTGTCGAGCGCGTCGCCGACGCCGGGGAGTCCGAGGAAGAGCGGTGGGAGCGCGGAAGTCGCGTCGCTTAAGCAGCAGATGCAGGTGCTCGAGATCAAGATGGCCGCGTCTGACCGCGTACGGCAACATCTCGAGTCTTCGTTGCGCGAGTTGACTGCTGAGCTGGACAACTCCGATGGATCCAAGGCGAGCTTGCAAGCGTACCGTTCTCGGTTGGCGAAGGAGAACACGCGCTTGGGCGAGCTCTTGTCGGACGAAGCGGAAGCTCGTCGTGCTGCACAGCAGGCCCAGCTCACTGGTGTACAAGAGATGTGGACCAAGTTCCAGAGTCAACTCGATGCCGAGCGGGAGAACTACGCGCGCCTGGAGGAGAGCCGGAAGGCGCTCGTCGTGCAGCAGAAGAACGCGCAGCTCGAGGCCGAGACGCATAAGCGTGCGAATGTCGAGCTTGCGCAGACCAAGAAGAAGCTGCAGCACGAGATCGCAGAGTTGAAGGATCGGCTCGAGTCGGAGACGCTGGCGAAGAAGGAGGAGACTAGTGAGTATAGCCTAAACGATCTAGAGCTTTCAGGTTGTTGATGGCCGTATAGTGTCCAAGCGTCAAGCCCTTCAGCGTCTTCAGGATCTTGAGGTCGCGTCTACTTCATCTTCAAGTGCTCAGTCAGAGCTGCGCGAGGCTGTCGAGGCATTCAAGACCAAGGCAGAGACCTATCGCATTCGACTCGAAGAGTTGGAGATCGACAAGGTCAAGCTCGAGCGCTCCGAGGCTGTCTGTACGTTGCCACCTCCCCAGCCTCATGTCGTGTCATACTCACCGCTCCGTAGTCAAACGTTCGTTGGCCGATCAGGAGAACACCCTCAATGCCACCGCTGCTGAACGTGATGGTCTTGCTCAACGGCTCAAGGACGCAGAGATCCGCGTACAAGAGCTCGAGTCTCGCATGGAGGAGATCCACGGCGAAAGCGCAGACATGGTCGTCTTGCGGAAGCGCCTCGCAGAGGAGATGGAGGACGAGCGCAAGCAGTTCGAGAAGGAGCTTGCGGATCGCGACCATGCTGCCGACATGACCCGCACCAAATACCAGCGTATGTTGAAACGTTTTCGACCGTTGATCAATCGCTCACGTGCCGCGCAGAGGAACTTGCTCAGCTCAGCGAGGAACTCAAGAGTCAGCGCGACAGTATGTCAAAGCTTCGCGAAGAGCTCCGCAAGACCCGCTCAGACTACGACGAGCTACAAGTTCGCTACGACGACGAGGTGTACTCGGGTGGCGCGTGGAACAAGGAGCGCGAACGGCTCGAGACGAAGATCTCGGATCTATCCCGCGCATACGATGCCGCCACGGGCGCTCAGTCCGAGCAGCAGGCCCAGATCGTCGCGCTTCACTCTCAAGTCCGCGAACTCCGTTCAGTTCTCAACGACGCCGAGGCGGATCGCTCGCTTCTCCAGAAGGCGCGCCGCAACCTCCAGGCGGAGTTAGAGACGATCAAGCTCGATTCAGCCGATGCCAGCAAGATGGGCACGGACCGCGAGCTCCAGAACCTCCTCATGCAGAACCAAGACCTCACGCGCACTCTCGAGGAGCATGCCGATCGCGTCGAGATGGCTATGGACCGCCAGCGTAAGGCAGAAGCGCACGCTCAGGAGAGTCAACTCGAGCTTGGCAAAATCCGGGTGGAGAACAGCGAACTGGACAAGGCCAACGCGTCCCTCGAGAAGCAAGTTAAGGAGCTCAATCTCAGGATCGTCGATCTTGAAACACGGTCGTACTCTCGTACGCCGGGCGCTACGGGTGCTGCCAACGACGCAACTGTACGCTCACTCAGGGCGCGGATCGACGAGCTGCAGAGCGAGTTGGCGAGTGCAACCTCTGCGCGCGCACGGCAGAGCCTATCGAAGGACCGCGAGGCTACGCTGAGACTCGCCGAGGCGGATCGCACGCGTCAGAAGTTGGAAGAGGAGGTGCGAGCCTACGAGGATAAGGTCGCCGGCATGAGGCGAGCGCTCGAGAGCATGCAAACCACCGAGGGTGAATTGCAGCTAGCCAAGCGTCGCGCTGAGCGCGAAGCTACAGACCTTCGCCAGCGGTCACTCAAGTACGTTCGTTTCCATACATCCGAAATATGTCAACATCTGACCATCTTGACAGCTTGGAGCACGAAGTTGAGCGCTTGCGCGCGCGTCTCGACCGCTCGGCAACACCTGGATCTATCGGCTCTCCGCGAAGAGGAGCATGATCACTGCCTGTTTCGATCTCATTTGCTCTGTTTATTTCTTTTGTTCATATCTTTCTGTCTGATGATTGCTTGATTCATGATATCCTCACTCACGACTCCATCGCTTGCCTCATCACGATTCTGTTTGCTGTTTCCCTGTCATGTTTCCCTGCACGGCTCTGTAGCACATTGGACATTGTCATACCTCTGACTGTACTGTACGTCTGCTCTGGAGTAGCTTATACATTTCTCTTAAACCTCTCGCACGTGTGATTCCTCAGGTCACTGGTGGTGAATATCCGCTTGTTTCCACGATATCTATGTGTTTGCCAAGTAAGACGTACATAGGCGAAACGGGAAACCCGTTTTCTATGGTTCTACGGAATCGTAACGGGTTTTCCCTACGCCTGTGCAAATCGTGATGGAGTGAAGACTCAAAACCAATTCTCTGGGTCTTCCCGTGGATCGACTGGTGGCTCAGAAGACGCATGACCATCAACTGGTTCTGCTTGTCCAATGCGCGAACCATCCTCGCCTGGACCAAGGTAAAGGCCGTTGATGGCCCTCTCCTCGCCATTTCCTTCGGAATGTTCGGGATGCTCTTGAGCTGTCGAGTACGCCGAGGAATCTTCCGCATGAATGCAAGGCTCTGGTCGTACAGTTATAGGCCCTGATTGTATAGGAACGGGATTCCGAAGAAGCTCCCTGACGAGCGCTATGAAATGATTGCGCAAAAGCGGCCACTGAGAGAAGTACTCGTCATACGGCGCGACGGGTGGCCGATATCTGTCCTCATCATAATCCCATGCATTAGGGTCTGTATCCGGCCGGCCATCCTCGTCATCTGCTTCACTGAAGGGGTGTGGATCAAGATGCATCTGTGCGAGGATCTTCTCGAGCTGGGGGTAGTGCTTTGGCGATAGCCAATCCTCGGAAGTCCCGATGTAAGGTGGGTTGGAAAAGCTACGCCCGCGGAGTAAGGACACGGCTTCCGAGACGACCTCATGCATAGGAACAACCCAAATGCCGAAATGCTCCTCCATCAGACTGACGCGCTCTGCGTCTGAGGCGCCAAAATCAGCATTGTCCATCTCGGTCCGAGGATATTGTATGAGGTCCCAAGCAAACTTCAAAGCGTTGGCGACGATGGCGTTGGCTACCCAACTGAAGCCTGCTTCATCCACGATCGACCAATCTCTAGAGAATGGGGAAGGGTCCAGGGGCTCGTCAACCTGGTATTGCCAAACTTGATTGTGTATCACGTTGGTATGCTTGTGATAGAGCCCAATTCGTGGGGCGTCCAATAATCTGATGGCCAGTATGTCCGCCCGAAGCGCAAGCCTGAAGCAGTCTAGAATGAACTTCGCACGCAAACCTAGACTTGGGGACGTCGCGAACTTATACGAAGCTAGCTCGGCTATGCGAGTTTCCGCGAAGTAGTAGTAGATCGTATCGCTGATAGGATCCAAGATAGCCGTCGGCCTCGGATGTCTATGAGACGGGCTAACGGCTCGCAGTTCGAAATTGTTACGCCTGAAGACGGTGCGAAGAACACTGCACACGAGCGCGAACGCGACACCCATGTTCCAGATGCTCGTGCTTTCGCATCCGGGGTCTTCGGAAAGATCCCCTCTGATACATCTGACGATCATGCGTCTCGAATGCTGAAAGATGCTCAGATCCTTCACCAGCAATAGTGCAATTTGGCTGGAGAAGGAGTTCAGGGTGGTCCGATAGCCCATCAGATGGGGGGCAACTGCGAGCCAAAACTCCTCGGTGTCCTCCATCCTGTCGAGGGATGCATATATCTGAGTCATCATGTAAGAAAATCGTCTACGCCATAGCTCAGGCTCCCAGGATTGAAAACCCTGATCAATATAGCCCAGACGAGTCTTCCAGAAGTTCAGTTGCACGGGCTCCACGGGCGCATCGATGTCTATGCGATAGCTGTACACGATCTCCATACGATTGTTACGCCCGCCGTGACTGGCGTTCCACGCATTCCATCGTAGCTTCCAATAGAGCGTAAACCGACACCAAGCCCGATAGGTTACTGTGAGCCCGTACACGCAGTATTGCGCGACCACGTAGAGGAGTGGTGTAAGAGGCGTTCGGTATGGAGTATCGGGCCATACAATCGACATGGCGCTAAGAAGGGTGTAGGCGACACCCCCCAGAGCAACGAAGAAAGTGAGAGAAGACGCGACGGCCCGGTTGAGGGTGAACACCATTACGAGAAAGCCGGCAAAGAATAATGCGACTGAAACATGAATGAGAGTCACGATTGCTGCTACAGCGTGCTCCATCTTGAACCTCTCGACACCGAGTGACAGGATCACGTAGCTGGGACCCCGCACGCTCACATGGCCGCGCCTGTATACGTCGTGTGTGTAGTCCCGGATCCATTGTTGGATAAGAGTGGCGGAAAGTGCGCAGAAGACGGATATGAAGAGACTGATTGACCACAAAGCATTGATCCAGAGACCAGAACCCGATGTGGCGGTATCTGGAAGCTCTGGAGGGGAAAGAGGATTCGTGTGACTTGTATTGTTCGAAAGGACAGCCAAGATGTCTGCAAGAAGGTCGACACTTTGCGATCCGGAGTCGGGGGGCAACATGGGTAGTCCGCTGTCGACGAGAAAGTTGGCAACGGTCGCGGCGAAGAGACCGGTCTTTAGGGAATGTCAGTCCAGCAGCGTACACTCTGTGTAGGGTCACGTACGAAGATCAGGATCCCATCTGCATCTCCCTTCCAACGTTGCATCCGAGTTTCATCGAACTTCCTCGCATCATCAATGAAGAGGGACCATATCTTGTCCGACGGTTCCAAACCCGCCGTTCCTGACATACGCGTGAGCAGGATCCACCAGGAGCATAGGTGGAGGATGCGCATACGGCTGGAAGACATGAGATGGTCTGCTTTCGAAGTCAGCTATACAGCCGGGCACGGAGAAGAAGATGTGCGTACTGAGTCGCAAGATTGACGATGTTTGCACAAAAGCGCGCGATGGGGCTCCTACCAAACAGTCTTCAGCCAGAGGCTACACAAGACTACGCCTGGACCTACAAGAGAGTCGAGCTTGGGTGGAGGTGTGACCAGGAAGAGAAATGGACCACGTTGGTTGTAAAAATGCAGAACCGCACGACAGAGTACGTATTGGCTCAAGCTATGCGTGTGCGGGCCAATGGCCAGACTCCTCCATGACTAAACAAGCACCCACAAGTGGCCTGACGTGCTGACGTTTCATTGAGTACGAGATGGGCGCCTAAGGCCTGATATTGTCATCCACTGTGGGTTCTCCTCAGATTTCTCCTCAGAGTCCCGCGTAGAGGAGATCCAGATATCCAAGACGCTTCATGACAGTATTTCATAGTGAGAGGCAGGGGCCCATGAAGGGTGAGCGCAAAGTTGCGAACGAGTTCGGAGCGCCGGTAACGAACATTCCCACGATATCGGCTCCATTCGCCGCGTTGATGGAACGTCGCCGGCCTGCTCTTTCAACCTTCGCGAGTTCAACCAGTACAACCACAATCACCATCACACATAGTCCTTTGTTTCTGTGAATCTCAGACGAGATCGTGAACTAGATCAAGTACCGTGTGGGCCAAATATCTCGGTCGGTTTTTTGGTCTTTGTATTCTGGCTACTCGTGCTAGGGGTGACAGGTCGATGAGCGCTAGCTCGCTATCAGGTCTTTGCCGTATCAAACGCCATCAGCTTTCAGCTGTTCTCTACTCCACCATTCCATCTTTACAATGATGTCGCGCAATCACGAAATACCGTGGCGGGACTACCGACGATCATCGAGCCCAGCCACTCCGCCGGCCCGCCTTTGTGGTTGTTCAGGCGTAAAATGTATTTAACAGGATGAAGCTAATGCTCTTTACTACTCTCGCCAAGAGACTCCTTCCTTCGCATCGGCGTTCTCCTTATGGCTGTACTAAGAGCGTAAGATTCTATCGCCTACTTGTTCTTCTGTCCTACCCTGACACCAAAGTACAGGTTCATCGTTGGGACCGTGACAGTACATCTTACGCATGTAGTCTACAAGTGGAACGATTCCTCTCATAGGACCGTGGAGATTCTTGTCGGACAACGCTTGGATTATTACAGGAGACACGAAAAAGACTGCTTGACGACGGACGTCGACGATGCCATAGATGTCGGTACGCATCTTTCTCCTCCTTGGAAACGTGAGCCTCGATATCATGATGGTCAGAGGTCATGATCTCCATCAAACTCGTTCAAGAACCCGGCGCTGCTTTTCCCGTGGCTCACGTCACGTTCATGCCTTCGGCTGGTCGCCAGCGTATTCGCGTTCCTCCCGGGTTCAGGATCGTCTTGAGAAATGACTCTTCCATTAGCGTCGAGCGTATGCCACTCGAAGGAGCTGTCCCCCCCGCGCTGACTGACGCGCAAGTGCACAATGCAAACTGCTACTGGTCTGTGCCGAGGCGGGAGGACGGTAAGCACCGTTCACATCATCCCGTCAGCGACTGACATCGTGGTATTCTTACGCAGGACACGCCGTCAGAGAAGCGTGGCTCAGCTATGAATGGGCAGGCACCTCAGAACATGGCGCCCTTCTCTGGCCCGTCTTCAAACAGCCTACCAGCTTTGACCGTGAATCACTCAAGGATGTCATCACGCCGTGGTCTGTCCGGCACTTCCTTCTTAACAAGGCTCTCGAAGACAGATACAACCCCATTCCGTCCGCTGTCTTCGTAGAGAAGCGTTTCCGTGTCCACCACGCACGCAAACGATTCAGCCTCACCAATATCAACCGCCTGATGATCTTGGCCGGAGCCCCTGAGGAACGTCGCGCGGATTTAGAATATGGTGCGAAGCTCGTTATGGCTGCATTGAACTCGGAAGTGGTCACGGACGCGGTGTATGAGGAGACTCTCGCAGATGCCTACGCACAGGGCATGCTGGGTGTGTAGATGAACTCGTAGTTATCGCGCGGTACTATTGCACCTGTAGAATTGGAATATCATTGAAGTTTTGTACATGATGGAAAGCTTGACGCCGCCAAGACCGGTCGCCACCGTGCGCCAACGATGGGGAGTGCGGCTCCCACGATCTGACATAGCGAGCCGGTCCGGTTTCTCGACGCCGTTCTGTTTGTCTTGCGCCACCGTCTCCGGTAGTCTTGTCTACTGATTTTGCGGCGAATGAAGTAGTATCTTGTGCTATGACAGAATGGAATACAACCGTCTGGTCACTAGGTCTCAATGCGGTACGCTCGCTACAAGCTACTAGTGGTGGCAGTGATGGGCCGCTGCACATTGCGGAAAGAAAGGCAGAGCGCAATACATTCCGTTTACTTCCGACTTGGTGTATTCTCTGACGACGGCGGGGCGGGTCCTTGGCTGTCCTTGGCGGATCGAGTTTGGTTGAGGTGGGATGGAATTGGAGTTGGAAGAGTCCGAATGGGTTGTCGTAATACGGGGAGATAAAAGGCGGATGAGGGGGATACTCGAAGAGGCTTACCTTTCGCCCCGCGACGTACAGATCTCGTAGACTGCTACCAACCATATAAGCGCCTGCCACCGACATAATCAAAATCAACGTGCCTTCCACTCCGCATCCGTCTCGCCCTCTTGATCCCCTCATGTCATACCTATCCTTCCTGATCGCCCTTCCTGATAGGGCCTACGGGACATCGTGCGAGGCGCAGGGGAGGTCGTCAGATGTCGATGCTGATGCGCGTCGACGGAGAGGTCCAAGTATGGCAATTGAGATACGCGCGCTCGTCGTTGAGAGCGATGCCACTCGAGATCGGCTGGCGAGACGGCATGCGGAAACGCCTCAGTCGTGATGAAAGTGTCAAAGCGAGACGACGGGTCGCTTGGCGCCGTCGTCGTCGTCGTCGTCGCTGGGGAACAAGGCCAGAGTGCTTGCAGAGTGCTGATCGCGCTACTGCAGCCGCGTCACGGTCACGCCTCGTTCGAATTGGCGCGTCATCGTCGCGCCGCGCTTTGTTTCCTGACACCATGCCATTGACAGGCGCGTAGAGTAGCTCCAAGAGCTCGCGCTATCGCTATTCCGTGCATGCGTCTACACAACTCGGCCAATGAAATATATACACTTGGTCGTTCTGCGCTAAGACGCCTTGTGGGCAGCCGTGCGCCTTATTTCCTGACACCACGTCTCCAATCGAGCGAGCGCCATCTCCTCTGCGATCGAGCGCATCTAGAATACCAGCAAGGAGAACGGAAAGTGGCAGAAAGGTAGCGCAAGGTGTCGTTCGTCGCTCCACTGAGGACTCGTACGTTGCTTATCTCGCCACATCGGTGCATGCGCCTCGCAACAGGATGACGAACACCAGCCGACAGCGTACCACCTTTCACCCAATGCCGTCTGCGCAGAAACGACTTATGCTCGCTGCGAAGGCGCGCCGGCACGCGACGTCCGAATGAGGACAGCGTAGCCTACACCAGTCGTCCTAGCCAGGTAGGACAGCAGCACAGCATACGCTCTGTACGGTTCTGGGTCTACCATTGGCACATCCCGCCTCTCTCCTCCACAATACGCCCAGTCTCTCTACGGCATTGTCAGAATGCCCAGGGTCCTCCGTTTATTCCGCGCGGTCGCTCGCGTCGTGTCGCCCATGCTCCTCGTAGTCCAGCGCAAACCGCGCACTTCGCCCGCTGAAGCCATCCTCCCTGCACCCGAGGAACCCCAGGCGCTCAGGCTGACCTCGGGTTCGACTGCTACTGTGGCGACCATCGACGCGCCGCCTACCACCGCCAATCGTAGAGCAAAGCTGCTACGCTTCAAGTCCAAACGCCTGCACCGCGCGCGTGAAACGGCGAAGGACGTCCTCCTCCTCACTCTCGACGCCCTCTCCGAGTCCTCCGATGTATTCCCGCCGCTCAAGAGCGTTGTCGGCGGACTACGCTTCTTCGTGGTGCGGGCCGAGGTAAGCCAGTTTCGTACGTTGTTTCGATTAGTGTAGCTCACGACGTTCGTCTAGACTATGTCTGACAACAAAGAGCAAGTCCGCGCCATATACGCCCAGATCGACGCTTTCGCCGCGTCGCTCGAAGATACCGTTCCCGACGCCACTGCGCTCTCGCCAGCACACAAAGCCGCTATACAGGCCCTTGCCCAGTACGCCCCATCTCCTCTGCCCCCAGTGAAGCGTCTAATGGGTTTCATAAGACACATGAGTGCCATTCACACGAACCTGGGAACCATGGCCGTCCAGCGCTCGCCGGCCCTTGGTTTCCTCCGTGCAAAGCGAGATTCAGCTCAGCTGCAGGATCTTGCGAAGCGGCTTGACCAGGCTCACAACACTTTCACGGTATGTCACTTCGTTCACCGGAGCTACGCTTGGAGACTGAACCTCGTACTCCGCCAGAGGACCATGCTGTCGAGCATGCACATCGCCACGACAGAGATTCTTGACTGTGTGCAGCCCATGCGTGTAGAGGTGCACCGCCTCTACCGTTTGGGCGTATTTTTTTTTGCACTGCACCCAAGCATTACAACCGCTTTCAAGTTGCCCTGTGTAGTACAGCCACTGTGCTGTCCACTGTCGGATGTCTGGCTTCGTATAGTAGTCCCTGATGCAAGACTATACGCCCCATAGCACTCTTCCTTTTTCTTTGACAAGGACTCACGTCATGCACATCTCACAAACTTGCTCACCGAACCTGAAGTCTACCTTACCCACGATGTAACAACCTCTTCCAAGCGGTATAATATAGTGCCCCTCATTGTCGTACTGCCCACGCTACAGTAAATCTTTGGCAAGTTCGCGTGAGACATCAGCCGAGCAAGCGCGGGCCGAATTCCGATCGCTCCTTGTTTCGCAACCACCATGTTCACGCGTTCACGAGCGTCGCTGTCCGAGCAAGACGTCTCGATCGTGCAATATACCGTTCAACCCACCAGGGGTTTGCTCTCTCCCAGTCAGGTCGTAGGTGAACGTATTGAGAACTCGATCTCGAGTCTCCGATAGACTGTTGCAGAGGAGCGTGTTCATGGTTGAACTGCGCACATGCATGTTACCCGCCGAAAGTCGCTGAGGACCCCGAGTATCCATAACTCGCCTCATTCACAATACGCCTTCACAGTACAGATGGTCATGTAGACGAAGGACGCGCAGCACGAACGAGTTGTTGCTCGGCTGGAGGCTCCGGAGTACTCTCGCCGGTCCCACGCTCTGCCGCGCTGATGGAACATTGGCGGCTCTTCGCCTCGATCTCAACCACACCCACCATCTCTCACCTCCCTCGAATCTGGTCGATATTGCAAAAAAATTGAGATCAGAACCGGCTTGCGTTGTGTCTCAGTCGCTTGTTGGTCTCGTCCAACTGCAAGATGCTACTTCATACAGTTCCGGGCACGACTGAATTGAGACAAACCCTACTAGGTCTTCGCCGTGTTGAGCATTCTTTAGCTGTCCGTTGTTTTCTAACTCGACATTCTACTCTTCTACGATGATCTCGCGCAATCACGAAATGCCGAGGCCAAACCACCGACGATCATCGAGGCTAACCACCCCGCTGGCCCGGCTCGCATCTGTGGTTGACCAGGCGCAGAATATATATAACGAGGTGCAGCCAAACCTCTTACCTTACTCTCGACAAGAGACTCCTCCCTCACCGGCTCTATCATGATAGCTCCGCTAACGAAGTAAGAGTCGATCACCTGCTTTGTTCTTCCGTCCTGCCCTGACATCAAAGTACAGCTTAACCATTGCGACCGTGACAGTGGACCTCACGCATGTAGTATATACGTGGAACCTTTCTACGACATTCGCGCCGAAGAGCGTGGAGGTTCTCGTCGGACAACGCTTCGATCGCTATAGGAGTCATGAAAAGAACTGCTTGACGACGGTCGTCGACAAGACTCTGGATGAAGGTACGCATATCTCTTCGCCGTGGAAGCGCTACCCTCGATCTCATCCGTGCGCAGATGTTGTGATCTCTATCAAGCTCGTGCAGGAGCCTGACGCTGCTTTCCCCGTGGCTCACATCACGTTTATGCCTTCGGCTGGTCGCCAGCGTGTCCGCGTTCCTCCGGGGTTCAAGATCGTCCTGAAAGAGGACGCGTCCATTCTCGTCGAACGTGTCCAACTCGAAGGAGTCATTCCCCCGGCGCTGGCCGACGCGCAAGTGCACAACGCCAACTGCTACTGGATTGTGCCCAAACGCGAGGACGGTAAGCACCTCCCGCATGATCCCGCCGGCGATGCCCACTGACATCGTGGTACTCCCACGCAGGACGCGCCGTCAGAGATGCGTGGCTCATGTATGAACTGGTCGGAAACTTAGGACCTGGCGCCCTTCTCTGGCCCGTCTTCAAGCAGCCTACCAGCATCGACCGCGAGTCGCTCAAGGACGTCATCACGCCGTGGTCTGTCCGCCACTTCCTTCTCAACAAGGCCCTCGACGACACGAGGAACCCCATTACGGTGATCAACCACGTTGAGAAGCGTTTCCGTGTCGAGCACGCGCGCAAACGGTTCAGTTTTGGCAATATCGACCGCCTTATGGTCATGGCCGGAGCCCCTGGGGAACGTCGCGAGGATGTTGAATTTGGCGCGAAGCTGGTTATGGCCGCGTTGAACTCGGGAGTGGTCACGGACGCGGTGTATGAGGAGACTCTCGCAGACGCTTATGCGATGGGCATGCTGGGCGTGTAGGTGATCCCATAGTTATTGCGCGGTACTAATGGCATCTGTACAATACGAATATCATTGAAGTTGTGTTTATCATCAAAAGTTGAAAGCCGCGACGATCGGTCCTCGCGAGAGGCCTCAGGCCGAAGGTGGCAGCTGTTTAGCCTGGTACGTTCCGGTATGTCACGGCAATCGTATGGTCGACTTGCGAGTCAGTATGTACTCGCGAAAACGAGCGCAGCTCCAAACCAACTCGGGGAAGGCTCGCCGAAAAGCATTCCCACGAGTTCGGCTCTGTTCACAGCGCTGATGGCGTCTCCTCGGCTTCGTCAACCACAGCCTCCACCTCTCCTGAGACTCGTAAGGCTTAGGCCCATACCAACTGTTGGATATCCTCGCATAGTCTCACAGCCTTCCGATGCATCCGCGTCCCAAAAAGTACCCACGGGGTGGAAGAAATTCCTGAATTGAAGCCTGCCCGGATCGAACGGACGACCTTCTGGAAGCCACAAGGGCTGGAATCAGATGCTCTACCACTGAGCCAAGGCTCCATAATGTTTTTGTCTTTCTCACCCCATGATCATGCTCAACTTTTCTTGTTTAATTCACCTCCACATATCTTACGGACCGACATCGACCGCATATTTTCCAGCGTAAGATCCAATGTACTCGTGTAGATTCGTGACGATAGTATACACTGATGTACAAAACAAAGCGAGTCTACCGGGATGGAAAACCAAAGCAAGTATGACAACAACAACCAACGACTCCACAAACAATCACCACGACGTCGGGCTACGATAAACGAGTAAGCAAGGCGGCACATTTCACGCATCACAAAGACGATGACGTACCCAAACATCTTCCCTTCTGGTATGGTCTTCAGAGGAACGCTGTTCCAATCTGCATTACGCGTGAAGACGGTGTTCCCCCACCATGTAGCTACTGTGGTCGCGCCTATATTGCCGTTTCGGGGGTATTGTAGACTGGTATACCCATCAGAATCGCCCTTCTGCCTCAGCATTACCTTGCATCTGCTCACCAGAAGAACACCAGTATCGTTCCGAGTGCTGTACCTGCATCGAGAGCGGCCGATAAGACATCTATAAGCGTGTGAGTCGCGCGCTGCAGTGACCTGATGCGGCCGAGAAACAGACGCACAGTTGTACTTGACCCAGAACGAGAAATGTCGCCGACGAATGAAGTACTGAAAGATGAATCCGGTGATCGCCCATGTCACGAAGTTCGAGGCGTTTGCAGGGGGGAGGAGCTGCAACCCGGAGAAGATCAACCTGAAAGTGATGTTCAGTCATGTATATGCGGGCGATCTTGAACTCAAGGCCTTACGGGAAGCTGTCATGGTATGTCAGGGACGTGAAGGACTCGGTGACGGGGATGCGACTCACTTGAGATAGTTGAGCCATGAATGTGGATATCGTTTCACCAACATCCATTGGAGCAAGGGGGCAACGGCGCCGATCAGGAAGAAGAATATAAGCCCTGCATGATACAAGGCATGAGCAAACGCGTATGTAAGCGCTGGAGATTAGTTGCGCACCATAGTAGATCTGATCAGCGGCGAACTGTCGTTGTGGCCCGATGAGACCCCAAATGATGGCAGCGGTGGCGAAGACTTCCTGGTTTGCGCAGACAAACCTTTGCGGCTGATCTTCGCTGCAGATGCCGCTGCAATGCGGTGTGAGCATGGTTGTACGATAAATGTTCGGAGGACTGACTCGATGTTGGAGAACATCCTATAGGTTCGTCAGCGCGATCATGATCACGAAGGACAGAACAGTCCGTACCATGTCTGCACAGCGAGTTGTGCAGTCCCGGCAATGACAGTTGAGATGATCTGCGTGCATGCCTGAGCGCACGGGGAACTTGGCGTACGCGAAGTCTTACCTGGGCAGCAAACATGGGTACCGGCGGTATCTTCCTGCGTGAGAATTGCACGTCAGACCGCACTCGTAATAGGGACAAAAGGCGGAGGGAGCGAACATGTAGTGTCCAAGTTTGAAGTCTCCCGTGAAGATCATCGCTAGACACCGTCAGTCCCTTGATACTGCATACTCCGGGACGGGATCATACCTTGCGTCATGGTGATGTAGCCCCAGGTCTACGGTGCACGCGCTCAGTATCATGCTCGGCGTCTGCCACCAAAGTGTCGTCAGAAACGTACCTTGAACCTGCATAGCGAAAACCGTTGAGCGCCGGGTTGACAGATAGAAGAGCCGCAGAACTTACATCATCAACGCGACAGGTCGCCCAGGGAGCATAAACCCGAGCAGCAGCTCTGCGAGAACGCTGAGAACGCGGTTTAACTCAATCGTATCGCAGTATGCAAAGACAAACTGACTTCAAGCCAATCTGTCGACTAGTGATCGCTTGAATCATGCCGATTGGTACCAGGAAGATGAGCGCTATCGACTTCAGTCAGTCCATCATGCCGGCGGACATATCTACTGGACCTCACAGATGGCGATGGCGACGATGAATGCCCATATCGTCATACCCGTCGGCCACAACTCGATGCATAGACATCCCGCCGTGAACGTGAAGACTATGCGTTCTTAGCTTGTGATCGAAATACTCCACCAACGGGCCTACCGAAGATAACAGCGTACCACCACTCCGGCACTTGGGTATATCGCGACATGAGTAGAGCGTGCACATCAGGTTGCTCCCGTAGAGATTGCCCGAAATTGCGCTTGATTGGCCGATAGAAGTAGATGGCAGCATGCACGATGGTGGAGGTGATCGCGGCGAAGCTCAGTCCGTAGGAAACGGCGAATGTGGTCCTGGGCGATGGTCAACTAGAGCACACAGGCTGAATGCAGAGTACGCTCACGAGAGGAATAGAGGGCTGTATGCTTCGTATGCGGTCTGGTTGAAGGAAGCATCAGGGTTGAGAATCCTTGTCAGGTTATATTGTTGGCCGGTGTTATCGTAAGAGTTATGCGACGATATCCTGGATAGGCTTGAGATGACGTGTCGGCGAGAGGAGATTGGCAACGCGTACGGTAAGTAATGAGACCACCACGTGTTAGAGTACTGGAAGAAGTTAGTTAATGACGTCCGCTACGCGTTCTACATCGACTTACGTATAGGGCCGGTGTCAGGATCCCTGATAGTTTAGCGTTTAGCGTCAGTGAAACGCGGAAGGGGGAACGAAAGGTCGCACAGAAGAACACCACGAAGCTTCCAAAGACATTTGCGGCGGCCCACCCTGTCACGTACTTCAACTACCGTACCATGTACTCACGATCTTAATGGACGCATACAAGGTACAGCAAGACTGTAGGATGCCAATCATCAGCACATCAGCCTAGAAGTGCGTGATGTAGATCACTCACGGACTTCCAGTATACGCAATCTGGGTCCAGTCAAGGGATATCAGAGAAAACCCGAGTCCGGAACGATAACTACAAGCCCAGGTTAGGGTGGACAGGACACAAGCCGCAGCGGACTTGCCCAAATAGTTGGTTCACTATCTTCGATGACGTCAGGAGGAAATCATAACACGAGGCTACGGTGTGCATACCACGTTTGAAGGTGCGATCCAGCAGACCCAGTTGAAGAAGCTGTAAGATGAAATGAGTACCTGAATTTCGGACACTTCGCGCACCGCTTGCCTGAGGGCTTGGAAGAGGTATCCAGGGAGGAAATCTGATAAAGACATGTGAGTGAGACATGAGGCTCCGAGCTCGCCCGAGACGTACACCACACCGTGGCACCCGCGCATACATAGGTGAAGAAGCGCTCGCGACTCATACCGCGTTTCGTCCCGGCCCCGGGGTAGTTCAGAGAATGTAGGGTATTGAAAAGGGCGCACGAGACCAATGTCGCCGGCCAAACTGTTCAACACGATGAGAGGCTGCGCAGCTGGATGAGGGAAGATGCGCACTCATGGAGGGAGGAGTGACTAGAAAACGCCGTGCGATACCGCCGATGGAAAAGCCGATGAGTTGTGTAGACTTTGGGGTGTTCCACTGAGTTACCGTTACCACAGTCAAGGGGAAAAGCATACCATAACCAACAACCAAGCGTCTACGGGAGTCAGCTGAGTGGCGAAGCAGGCCATGCGGAAGGAGTGCGTACAGATAAAACCGAAGTCCTGATTGAAGTAAACCTTCTGCACCGCTACAATCTCCGTCTACCGTGGCAGTTTAGACGAGTTCATCTCCGACAGGATGGATGACGACGCACAGCATATGCTGCTTGAGACCCTACGCCGGCCATGACCGTGACGAGCACCTGCAGATGAGGTAATGAGTTTTAGGTCCAGAATCTCGAAGACTTGTAGAGCCATACGTGCTCCTTAATGGTGAAGTAACCAGGGTTGAGTGGTACGCCAAATAGTTTGACCTGAGGCATAGCACGAGCCCATAGTCGGCCCATCGGGAAAGATATCAGCTGTGCCACTAGCTGATTGACGTAGATGGTTGGATATCGAAGCTATGATCACGCCTGTGAGTATCAGCGGTGTTCGGAAGTGCTGTCCACGCACGAGAAAGAACTGGTTGACGCTGGGTAGCACAAGAGCCCAGAGCAGTCCGAGTACCCACGCGCGAATTGTGGAGCTGGGCATGGTGGGGTCGTCAAAGTTTGCAACAGCTGCGCGCACTTCGGGGTAAGGGGAGTCGTTTCCTGAGAGACGATTTATCAGGACACAGAACAGTAGGACACGCTTCTGTCAGTACCCAGCTCGGTTTGCTCTGCGTCGAAGTTAGGGTCAAAGTCAGATACGGAGTCCAAATCCCCCGCATAGTGTACCGAGATGTCCTAAAGACTTGTTAGTGCTTGTTACATCAGTTCTATGTATCAAGCGCGCATACCTCCTCCGCATCTGCAGTAATAACACCATGAGCACAGTCGCTAGCTGAGGTAAATTGAGCCTTACCGCGTGATTTCTCACTCTCGTTTGGGCGCTCTTCCTGGCCGTTCTCCACTATGACACGGGCGTCATGGGCGCTCATGGACATCTCATGCTCGCCGAGGTATACCCCGGGCGCAGAGTGCTTTGAGGTCAAGCTACTCGTCGACAATGAAGCCAGGGTGCCGATAGTGCGAGACTCGCGCCTTATACAACACCATGACCATCAGCATTGGCTCAATTCAGCAATCAGACGGGACCGAAGCTCACGTCTCCAACGAAAGATAAGGGGCTTTGAACAACTATCCGAAGATATCACTCAGTGCGCAGAGATGCCGGTGTATATCACTGATATCACCGGTGATTAGTGGTCAGCTCTAGTTGATACACCTCAGACGACCAACGACAATGGACAGCAGCCGGAGCCACAGGAGGAGGATGGTGGTGGATGCGGGAAAAGAGCGAAGATCTGTATGCAGCGGAAGGACGCGTTAGAATACACTCGGCAACGCGACTTTCGAAGCCGCTCACGCGCGTGGAAAAGCCCGGGTGCCTGGGCTTCTTGCTTTCGGTGGCATCTATCCCAGCACGCTACCTCCCACTCCTCCCGCACACCGCGCACACGCGCGACTTGAGCCAAGAAGCTCGTATGCCCGGCATCGCCTTTCGACCGGATCGTGACGACATCCATCCCGTCCGGCGCCGGCGCTTGATTGGAAGATACAGAAATCCCCACTTACAACGTGTTGTCGAAAGATGATCTTCGTTATCAGACCCTTGGTACGTGAGCGCCGTTATGAGCCCTTGTGACCCAATTCAGCGAGGGTTATCTAGAGAGTGCATTGAGATCGCGAGGGCGATGCGCTCGCGTTATATCTTGTTCTCTTCCGAGGGGGTTCACCGTATGGGTCGGATCTAAACCTGGACGTTTGCTGGGAATGTTGAGCCGCTTCTCAACAGACGTTGATAGACAAGGCGCCTACCTTCACATCACGCGCGGCATCGGGGTTTACCGGCCTGTACCATGCATTCAGACTGCTTCGGATAGCGCAAGAGCCCGACACGGACGCGCTAGCATTGGCTTTCCCTAGACATTGCTGAAGGTGAGCTCGTTTTCCAGTAAGAGTTTAAACTTACGAACCGAGGGTGGGGACCAGTCGTTCGCTCAGAGGTAAGCGTAAAGGTGTACGCAGCTGCCGTGAGCGCCTGTGGCTTCGGGGTATCCATGGCTGTGCATGTCGTCTAATCGGCAGGCGGATATGGACCATGCCAGGTAACGGTAAAGCCACGTACACGGATCTGAAGGGCGTAGACATGACGCTGCTACGGTCTGTCAGTGTTCTGAGGGGTACATCACGCAAGCGCTCTATACGCGGGCGCCATTGAACCCTGCATGTGATAGAATGCGAGAACACAATGATCGACGGCAAAAGTTAAGGGCGCAGAACGCTTCTGCCGAATGCGGGGAAAAGAAAGTCGAGAGAAGCGTGCGTGCCGGTAGGTCCCTGTTTATTGACGCCGCGCCTTGAGGAGGCCAACATGCTTGTATCCAGGGATGGTGATGACTTGATGCGACCCATGTACACATCGAGCTCGTGTCGAGCACAGAGCAAGGTTCGACATGACCAGGCGCCACTCGTAAGTGCGCTCGTTCACGAATAGTGATCTTGCAAACTGAACGTACAGATACATCGGACGCGGGTCTGTGATGCGCAAGCGCCGGGCGTTAATGAAGCCAACTCCGAGCTCGGGACAGACCGTGCGTAGCCATTCCAGAAGCCATGGACGCTACGGGTATGGTATGGGTACACGATAGAAGGGAGGACCGATAAGTGGGACGTCCATGTGCGACCCCGTACCTGCCTCGGAGCTTCGCGAGGCATGAAAGACTCCAGTCTTCAGGAAACTATGAACGCGGTTCAGCCGTGACTTCGGTGGCCGGATTAGACGGCTAGCATGACTCACAACATTGAAGAAGATGACATGCAGTCATGCATTTGCACAACTATGGACACCGAAGAGAAAGGTGTGCCTTCGTGTACGCCTATCGGCGGCAGAACTGGTTAGAACTGCGCGCGGCAGGCCACAAGTAGCCATGCAACTCCCGCAGCTACACCATCGACAACACGGACATCCTTGCCCTTGTCCTTGCTATCGCTCAAAGCCCGGGCCGCTCCCAGCCGTATCGCATCAGCCCCATCAACCATCGCTGCACATCCGAGGCAGAACACCCGCGTCTGTGGCGCATCGCGGATGAGTCGTGACGTCGCGTCCGCCATCCTTTCCCGTACGTCCTCCGCAGGCGCGTCGTGTAGCTCCAAAGCGGTCATGCCAGTCGTCCGACAGCCAGTGAATTTCTTGGAGGTAACGACTCCGAGGAACACGCGGACCGCGTCTGCGAGCGCGGTTTCCCAGACGCTGCCAGTAGAAATGATGCCGAAAGAGTTCTCGGAAGGGAGCTGCGCGAGTAATCCGAGGCTGGCAAGTACACTTGCTTCGAATATCCCGGTCACGTAGCATTTCCTCCTCAATTGCCCGCTGTGTGAGCGCGTCTCTATGGCGCGCCCAAGCATGCCGACCAGTGGATGCTCAGAATAACACGCGACAAGGAAGGCGTCATATTGCTCGACTAGAGGTTCGACAAAGGGATAGACGTATTGGGCGCTTGCGACGCTATCTTCTGGCGAATTGATGCTTGGTAGTGCTCCGGGATGTATCTCGGTGCCGGTTGGTGGTGATGGTGCGGTGAAGAACTCGCAGGTCACGTCGCCCGACGCGCCAAGCACACGCTGCACTACCGGCCGTAGCGCGTCGGTCATTGCCACGCTCGTATTCGGGTTCACTACCAGCATGCGATAGGATGCTTTTGAGGCCATGACGATGGAAGAGAGAAAGTTTGAATGAGGTTTTGCAGGATCGCTGCGATCCGCAATCTGATCGCGCCTTCACGGAAGCTAGGGATCTGCATGAGACGTGCATCCAATAAAGGTCCCTGTTTAGACGCTACTACGTCTGGCTCTGGTACAGTACTACACTGACGCTCAAGTGTCAATTGAGTCATAGCACTATACATCCCCAGAGTCGTCGCTGGAACTGATGATCCCTTTGATGACATGCAATCGAACCAACATCCTGCCAAACAAACCAAAAGCCTTATATCTGTCCATGGGTATGTATTAAGTAGTACATCGTCAGAAGGCCGTGCGTCATGAGCGAGTGCTCTATATCGATCCGCATTGATAGATCCATGAGAGGCGTCGTGATATATCCAAAGCTTTACATGACCGTGCAGCAGGAGTTTTGCTGCAGCGCCACAAGTTAGTGATGAAAGATAATCACTGAGCAAGCATGCATACCTTCTTAGCAGTCTTGTAGAACATCTTGCTCTGCATAGACAGAGCCTGCGAGCGGTCGACGAGGTCGTCCAGCTTCTCTCCGCGTTGCAGTACGGACTCCATGGTCTTGTGCTAAAGACCCATTTTCAGCGACCCCATTACGATCTCCTAGGCAAGCGTGAGCTCACCAAAATAATCTTGGTCTCATCAAGCTCTGCCTGTACACGCATGATGTTGTCTGCGTGTCTCGGGTCCTGGTACTTCTGCAAGTACGTGTTGATCTCGGAAAAGTTGATAGTACCGGGGCTGGAGTACTGGCTTTGGGGCACTTTCGCGGTGAAGTCATCGAGCAATTTCGTGATGAGGGAGAAGGCAGGTCGGACAGGATACTCGTGGTCAGTGATGATGACACCTGCTAATAGTGAATACACGGTTGCAAGGAGAGGGAACGGACAGGCCACGCACCAGCGAGTTGCTCCGCCCCGCCCCGGTTGTATACATGTGCAGTGTAGTTGTTCTCTTGTACCGTCTGCCTCTGCCCCTGCTGCGTCCTGTCCGCAACCGTCTTAGAGAAGAACGTCATGAATTCGCCGACAGAGCCGCGTTGCAAGAACGAGAAGCTAGAGAGTTCATGCGCAGAGCTCAGGATCGCGCTCGGCCCTTTCGGTGGGGCCAGGATGACTGCTAGGGCGTAGATATGCATGGTCGTTCAGGGTTCGATGGTGATGGTACGTGCAGATGGAGGTAGGTCGAGAACAGCGTTGAGCTCATGCAACTCGCGCCGGCGTCGCAGCGCATTACGTACTTTGAATACACGTTGTGTTGGTTCCTGTACGGTTGATCGTTCCGCGTTTCTGCGTTCACTATTGAACTTGGACTTGACCCTCGACCAGCGTAGTAAGTACGCGGAAGCCGATTCTGTCACTGCTACCCGAATGCCTCCCGGGTGATCAGACATACGTATCAAACTCATGCCTTCTCCTTTGTCTACGCTGCTTCGATTCTTGTGAATTCGGCGTTCGCCGAGGTTTGCAACGCTATTGTTCGCTAAGCCGTGCCGATCGCACTCGCAAGCGCAGATGGTCTGGAGAGCAGGTTCTATTCACATCACTTGCTATGGACGGTCGTACCTGTGGCATAATCCCGCCAACGGGGTTGGGGGTACCCGCTTCTGAAGCTGGATGTACAGTGGGCCCGCCAACGCCTCACGTCCTATCATCCTGTGTCCTGTACTCAGAGCGGTCACGGCTCCAAAACAACTACCATTGACCCGCCATAACCCACCTTCCAGCGCGGGCAAATTTGACTGAACGTCGAAACTCTCCACCAGCACGCCCTCATCGCATCCGATTACTGTACGCGAAGCTGGCTTCAGCAGTTTGACACCTGTACAACGGCGAGCATCACACCCGAAGCTTCTGCCTCGTGTAAAGCAGCGCTCTTTGTTGATGTCACTTGCGTGGCTTGAGTTTACTGCCTCATGTTTACCGGTCCGTCGTGAGGAGCATTTGGTCCCGCGCGTGGTTCGACCGACTACGCCCGCTTGAACGATGTCGGCGCGCTCAGTGCTTGAGTCGCTCCTGTATACGTACCCTCAGTCATGTTGAAGATTGAGCCCACTCATGCGTACAAGCAAGACTGCATTCACTGAGTAAGCGAGACGGTCATGGCTCCGACGTGCAATGTCTGAGTGTCGAGTCGTTCCTCATCTGGCTCTTGCGCCTCTACCTCATTTCCCGGGCCAGGCTGGACCCCATCATGATCGGATGCATATTACACTACCGCGCACTCGGCGCATTGTGCCGAGAGACCATGTAATGGACATGAGGCTTCGTGGTTAGGACCACAGACCCCGCCTCATTGTCACAAGTGGCGGGTCCAAGGCTTCTTCACAGAACTTTCCCTTTCACACCAAGCTCTCTGCATTGTCCATCCTTTGATCTGCGATACGTTTCGCAAACACGCGGCGGTGGCCCCGGGCGTACGCTCGCAGGATACAAAAGCCAGCCGCATTTGGAGCTGAAACCCCACCACCCCGGCCACTCTCACCGCCCACTGTCTTCTTCTGTCGAAGCGCATCACCACCATCATGCAAAGCGACGCTCAGAACAACTTCGGCGACATGCAGCAGTACGCCGCTATGGAGAAGAACGGTTATCAGAACCAGAGTTCCGACGCTGTACGTGCACCATCGTTCACTTGTATTCCATTCCAAAAACTGATCATCGTTCTACAGAGCGTCTCTCAGCAGCAGCTACACCACAACGACTACCAGCCTAGCTTCAACGCCAATCTTCCCCCCGCTCCGGCTATGCATGCCGCTGGGGATGCGTTCCCGACCAGCTTCGGTGGTTACCAGCCCTACAACACCACCACTCCCGCCACGCCCGGCGACTTTGTCGGTGACGCGTTTGCGACCGAGTACTTCAGTCGCCACCAGCCGCAGAGCTCCATCCCGCAGGGTGTATACGCGTACGATGGTCGCTTCGTGAACAACTTCGGCGAGTTGCCCATGTTAGGCGAATCGGTCGATGGGTACCGCGCTTGGCCTGGCTGTGGAGAAGACGCGTCAGTACACATGCAGACGCAGGCAGAGATGCAGATGCAGGCGCAATGGCGCGCGCAGATGCAACCGCAAGTGCAGATGCAGGTTCAGGACCAGCTGCAGGCGCAGGCTCAGTACCTGGCGCAGGCGTACCCCTCACCCGACTCCGACTTCGCGCCCAACCATCCCGCCCCGGCTGCGCCTTTCGCAGTACCGGATCGCCCGCCAGCGCCCGCGCCCGCATCCCCGGAGGACGATTTCAACACGAAGATTCAGTTGGACGACGCCGCCTTTGCCCAATTCCTCACGGAGTGGCCTCTCGAGCAAACCGTCAACGACTACCACCACCGCAACGGACTCTACCAGGACATGCTATCCTCAGCAGCAAACACCAGCGTTTTCCCTGCCAACGACCTTGCGTTGTTCCCCGTGAACTTCGCGTCAGCTAAGGCCGCACAGGACGCAACGCTAAACCGCACGTCCGACTACGGTTGGAATGTGCAGGGTTGGGTCCCTACGGGGACCCAATCAACGCTTAACTTGGAACAAGCTGGGTGGCCCGTGCAGGACTACCTGCCGGAGCCGACTCAGCAGCTCGACTGCCAAGCTGAGGCAGTTGGGCCGTCGCAGGAGATCGGTCAACCCATGGCCATCACCTCGGCGAAAGAAGAAGCGGCTACGCCTGAGCCGCTCTTCGCAACGGCGCCCGTCGCAAAACCCCGCTCGCACCGCGCCGGATCTTCCGTAAGGACTCTGAGGGCCAGCGGCGAGCTTGTCATCGTTGACATCAAGGACGCCAGGGACGCAAAGAAGCGCTTCGGACGTGGCGTGACGCCGGTCGTACTCTACGCACAGGCCGTACGCCCCGAGGTTAGTTACCAGCCCCGGATGGGGAGCTCGGACGCGCCTGTCATCTGTCCCGTCGATGGCTGCCGCCGTCTCTACACCAGCAATCTTAGGGCGGTCGAACGGCACCTCTGGTGTTCGAAGGATGCTGCTCACATTGCGTACGTCAAAAGCGACTTGTTTGCAAAGATCAAGCACTACTCGGGCGAGGCGTGGGGCAAGGCGAAGCGTGGGTGCAAGTTTTGTGGCTGGGAGACTCAGTCAGGTCGTGGGGACTCATTGAAAAGACACGAAATGGGACATATGAAGGGCCGCCCTGGTCTCGCGAAGCCGAAGCGGAAAGTCAAGAAGGAGAGCGGTTTGGCTTGGGTGGTGAATGATATCCGCGCGGTGATGTAGGCTTGTGGGACCTGGTTTTCTTGTCGCGGACTTTATGGACTCCAGTTCTCGTTTCTTTATACTCGATACGTCTCGGTGTTCCCTTGTTCTCGCCTGGCAGTGCCCCTTCAATGTGTACTTGTACGTCCATAGAGCCTGAAACATAGAGATCGCGAAGCAATCGATGAATATCCCCTTTGTTCTCCAAACAGTCATGACGCGCCCAGAGGTCAAAGCAGCCCGAAATTCGCGTGATGACAGCAGTATACCAGTTTGACGCGGTCTCACCGCGGCTGAATCAAGCCGCACCTCGAAGCGCCTTGATCGAAGGCAACAACAGTAGCCCGGTTCAGCATGATGAAGGAGAAAGACACGTCCGGATTTGAGCCATGGTGAGAAGTAAACTTTGCGAAGCAGCACGGGGTTTGCCGGCGAAGAAATGCAAGCTCCCGCGCGCCGCGACTTGGCTCTGACCATGAAGATCACCGTTGACTGCATGTGTAGATGTGTCAACGTACGACCTCGTATCCTTTACAAACTCTATCTACGGGCAAATACTCTTTTCCGCTACTCACAGTGATATCTGAACGTGAACGTGATGCCTGAGGCCTGAGGCTCGGTCGATGCGAAGAGGATCCGTTTCGTCATCGATATATTCATTGGGACCATGAGCGCTGCGCTCTTCGCGCTCATGACGACCGCGCACTGTAGCATCTTGCACTCCCTTTCATATGAGGTTGGTAGTGTCAGACGAATAATGCACGTCGTGGTCAGCCTAGTGAAAGCGCTTCATTCGGCCTCGTCCCTGGCGTGAGTTAGTGACCATGACGCATCGCAATCCCTTCTGAGAAAAAGGCTCTTGAGACCTATACTAGTAGTTTGGCGCGCATCGTTTTATCGGAGATAGGGCCGGAGATTGGCTTGTACTAAGCGCGACACCCTATCTGGCAAGAACTCCCACGGCGTCCGGGCAGACTGCGAAAGTTTGAAAAGAGTGTTACCAACTAGGTCCAAGTATAACCGCACGTTCACGCAGAGAGTGGGGTAGACAGAATATATATGCGATACAAGAAAGGCTAGCGACTGACAAACAATAGGACGACGATAGCAAGCTGGACGACGAAAGCAAGCGCGAGTGTAGAGTACAGCGAGTGCAACGAAGTCGTATAGTAACCAGAAGGAAATGTGGCATGGGGAATAGAGGGCATAGAGTGGCATAGTAAGGCATAGGGGCATAGATGGGGTTGAATTGATACGAAAGCACGTCAGTCAGGTCAACTAGCCGATGAATAGTCCGAAGAAAGGGAAAGAAATCTAGTAAAGCTGGTTCAGGTCGTTGAGACAACCAGCGACGATGTTGATGAGGTCGAGGCAGTCCTGGAGCTGGTCCTCCTTGACAACAGCCGACATCGGAAGCACCATCTTGTCAGGGTGCAGACGGAAGACATCGGTGCGGACGACCTTCCTAGGCTGGACGCCCTGAGCCTCGGGGCGGTTCTCGTGGAGGATGAACGAGGTGATAGCCTGAAGCGGTTCCTCACCCCTGCGGTTGAGGATATCCTTCGCCTGCTCAGGGTTGAAGATAGGCCAAGGCAGTTCGGCGACGTCGAACTTGATACCAGCATCGACGAGCTCCTTGAATTGGCTCTTGACGAGCTTGAGCTTGTACTCGTAAAGCTTGAAGGCGCGGATAGTAGCGTCGCTCTCGGCATTGATGGCATCGCACTCCTGCTGAATACGAGCGCGCACAGGATTGACCGGTGCAGCCGGGGCAGGCTTCTTATCCGCGACGCGCTTGTCCTGCACCTGACGCTTGCGCTCAACCTCGGCGGCAAGGCGAGCCGCGCGTTGGCGTTTGAGCCTTGCGTTAAAGGCTGCATAACCGAAGGCATCATGGGCGGGGCGGGCACGCGCGTTGCGACGAGCCTTGATGCTCTCAGCACCCTGGCGCTGAGCTTCCGCGTAACGACGAAGCTCCTCCGCCTCCGCCTTGCGAGCCTCCGCGGCCTTGCGCTCCTCCTCAGCGATGCGGGCCTCCTCTGCAATGCGAGCGGCCTCGGCCTGGCGAGCCTCCTCGGCGATGCGCTCCGCTTCGGCGGCAACACGAGCGGCCTCAGCGGCAGCGGCAGCAGCCTCAGCAGCAAGGCGAGCCTCTTCGCGCTCAGCGGCGACACGCTGCTCGAACTCTTCCAACATGCGCTGGGCATGCGCGGCGGCGATACGGTCCGACTCCTCCTTCTCGCGCGCCGCCTGAGCAATAGCGGCAGGGTCGAGCTGAGTGGACTCGACGCGGATCGAACCCTCGCGCCTAGCCCTGCGCTCGCGGCGTTCGCGGGCAACGAAGCTGGAGTCCTCCATGATGATAGAAGGGCACGGCCTAAGAGGAGCATGGGTCCAGCGCTGAGGCTGCGGCTGAGGACGAGAGAAAGAGGCACTGTCGACGTCCATCAGGGATGGCTCGCGACGGAAAGAGGTGTCGATGTCCATAGCAGAACCATTCGCGGCGGTGTGGCGGTTGCGACCGAGAGGGCGAGGACCGCGGATACGAGGGCCGTGCGGGTTGTGGTTGTGGTTGTGGCGACGAATCTCGCGCTCGATGTCGGCGGTGAAGCGAGGGCGGCTAGATTTTTGCGCGATGCGGAGCTGTTCGGCGCGGAGCTCGGCGAGACGCCTGTAGTACGCTGCGTCGTTGAAGATGTGGTTGTTCCGGAGTTCAGTAATCTCCTCAGCGATGCGCTCCGCCTCGCTGAGAGGAGAGGCGGGGACGGTGGTGTAGTTGGAGGTGTCGTTGCGTTCCCGGGCCAGCCAAGGATATACGTGAGATGCGACGGAGGATGCGCTAGGCAGGTGCATGAAGAGACCCGTCATGTCACGGGCGAGGCGGGTGGTCTTGGACGGGGTAGCCTTCATCGTATGCTCTAAGACGCCGGTGGTTAGTGTTGAGAGGACTAGGTGGCTCAGAAATGATGTACAAACCTTGACGGTGGCGAGATACTTGATTTAGGCGGTGAAGGTGGGGTCGGTGGTTGTGGTGGTCTATCCGAATGTTGTGTCAATACGGGTGAGGAGACACACTGGAGGCTGGGCACGAACCTGGAGGAAGGTGGTTGCTTGAGGCAAGGACCTCGTTGAGGTTGAAGAGCGCGGGCGAGTGGGCGAGGGTCAAGGATGATGGTGGTGCAGTCCAAGCTTGGACATGCACGATATGAGGGAAGTGCGCCGCGGGTCACGGGATGAGGACAACAATCTGTTGAGCGATTCAACCCAACCACCATCGATATTCGCTTCGTCAGCCGCGCTGATTCTGGGGCGCGACGCTTCAACCACCCTTCTGCGTAGAAGCACACCCAAACATACCGGAGTATGACGGACGATGCGGGGTCTGCACACGGCTTCCACTATGAGCGCTACCGTGACTATCGTCTTACCATTCATCCAGGATTCTTCGTTCCGGTCGAGGGCCACTGATCCATCGTCAGCGCGGTAAAGATGCGTACAATGCGAGTGCGTCGCCGTATGTCGTCTCGCGATTGCCGTCAAGGTTGTCGTTCCCGACAGAGGCCCGCTGCTCTCGCGCCCGATTCCCGGATGCGCTTTTGCCCCTTGGCGAATCGCCAGTGCGGGATACTTGTCGCTGTATAAATGCCTCCGAAAGCATTGGCCTTCGTCAATCGTTGACTAGCTGCTATGGTAAGATTTAGCTCAATACGGCCCTCCGACGAGCCCACACCTGTCCACACCTTACTCCAATGACCATTGATAGGATGGAATGCGTCGGATTCGATCGCCAGAGTTACGGATCATATCCACTATGTCTGGTATTCGCGACGTACATTCGGTGAGCCGTCGAAAGGGTACGCGCTCTTCACAAGTCCACGCACTTACAATTTATCCCAAGCACGATGGCCCGGGTACGCTCGATGGCTTGACGAATCATTCTGGTGTGAACGTTTGTGGCCGTCACACGGGGCGACATCCTCTGAGCCTACTTTCAAACGGACCAGTTAGTATGCGATGTATGAGGTGTACACCTCAAATGCTCACCATCGCGCTTGTCTGACGTCGTGCACGACGCCGTTCGGTCAGTCCTGGGTCAGTCTATAAAGGACGAGGGGTTTTTGAACCGACACGGTCGACTAGGGCAAATCCCAATATCAACCAGCCAGTACATGACCAACCCGTGAGTTTTGAATTTACCCAGGCAGACTGTGATCATACAAGGTATCCACGCGTCAAGTACCGGCGCTACGCGCATATCGCCAGGAGAGCTGTTGTATTCTCACTGCGGCCCGTCTCGTCTTTCTTGCGCTGCACGTCGGCGCAAGGCTGGGTCGTTGAGCCTGGTAGGGTCCGTTCGTTCGTGCTCATCGACGTGCCTATTCAGAAGGTTGCGCAGCCTGGGGCACGTACCAAGTAAGGCGAAGATACGACTTCCAGGCCCACGGCACAAGGCAAGGGCGTGTGTACGTGCTCGGAAGATCGACCTCGGAACAGTCAACGTATCAAGTTGCGTCGATCCCAACAAAGGCAGTTGTTGACTACAGATCTCCGGTGCACTTTGTAAGGGCCACAGATGTGCTCTACATTGCATGCTGCTCCAAGCGTAGAGCTAGTTGTGTACTTTTGTGAGCGCGCCAGGCGAGTGACATGGCAGCTATAAGTCAAGAAGTCCCGGAGTTCGGAGCCGATCAAGCGCTGGACATGGCGTCGGGCGGGTTTCCACAGCGACGGCGACCATCCGCGGTCTCGGCCACACTGTGAACATCGGCTGAGAACCCCTGGATTTCATTGAGCGTGGCATCAGCGTACTTTACCACGCACGTCTTGCTTCTTACCACCGTCTCGTCGTCTCTCGCTCGTTTAGGAATTACCTTTGTGTCGCCGGCCAGCGCGTCGCGACATGCAGGCCTCAGGCTCATACCCGTATCCCCAATACCCGCGTCCTACACCTCCACGGCCACCAAATTCTGGAAATGGGAACATGAACTCTGCTTCCGGTTATATAGCTCCTGGTAATGGGAATTCTGGAACTGGCTACCCCAATACGGCTCAACGCAGACCGGTAAACGTCAAGCCGCCTCCCACAAACGGAGAAGGCAGCCGCGACTCAAACGCCTTGCGAGCCAGCGTACTCGATGCTGCTCTTGCCTTGGGTTTTGGGACAAACAAGACGGTTGAGAACTGGATGTTCAACACCGTCGCGGAGGAAGACGAAGAAGCCGAGGAAGACGTATGTGAAGTTCAACTTGATGATATTCCGTCTCAGAACTGAACAAAGGCTATCATAGATTGGCACTTCTCCCAGTTTAACGAACGGTTCAACTGCGACGTCGGCGGAATCTACACCTGGGCCATCTAACTCTTCGTTCCCCACACCGACATATACCCAACCTCTCGACCGGCCATTTCAAACAGCCGGGACCTATACCACGCCTTACCCAGCGCCAGTCTCGCCTCCCGTCGCACCTCCCACGCCCAAAAGCAAGAACAAACTTCGCAAGAAGGGCCGTGGGGATGATGGCTACATCTCAGACTCCACTGGTCCAGCACCGCTGAAGTCGTCGAAGTCAAAACGGTCGAAGTCAAAGGGTCCGTCCGGCGGTGGGGAGTCCAGCGATGAAGGTGGCGGCTATTTCTCAGACTTCGCACGGAGAAGGAAGAGCAAGAAGAAGGATAAGAAGGACAAGGATAAGGCGTCAAGGGAGCTGGTCGACGACGGAGATGAGAGCGATGGTGGATACCTGTCAGAGGCGACCAAGAAGAAGCGTGGCTTCTTCCGTTTGAAGTCCAAGTCATCGAAGACGAGTCCCGCGGCGCCGCCGCCGGTACCGGCGATGCCACCTAAGCTTCCGTCGATGCCCGCCTCTGCTTCGACTCTGTCGGCTGATATTGATTGGGAGCAGCATCAGTCAGTGGATAGAGCTCGGAGTACGACACCCATGGCGGCGGTGCGACCGAAGGAGAGCTTCGATAGCTTCGCGACAAGGACGACGAGCACGGAGGATGACGACGCTTGGACCGCGGAGACGCCGAATACGAGCATGAGCGGGCATGGTCTGAGCAGTATTGGACATGGGTCGAAGCGCAGCAATGATGTCGGTTCAAGCAGCAACGGCCATGGGTCTAGCAACGGACATGGCGCAGGCTCAAGTGACGGACACGGCGAACCCACGAAGAAGGGTGTGCGCTTTACACCTTCGACGCGCTTCAGCGGTCCTGCTCTGCAGGCGATTGCCCCAGAACCTATTCCGCCTTCGCCGCGCGTACCGGCATTACCTACGTCACCATCGCCTGCCGTATCGCAGAGACAGCAGTTGATGCTGAATATCTCTCCGCCTTACGCCCTTGCACCCAAGCCCGCCCCAAGCCCTACGCCCAGCGACTTCACGATCGTGTCTGCTACGGATGGGGTCGAACCGAGTTCTGACTATCTCGTCCCCAGCCCGAGCGTCACTCCTGTCCCAACGCAACGAAGCCCAGACGATGTCCTCACTCCTCAATCTGGCTCCGACACCATCAGTCCTCAGAGCACATACATCGTGCCCTCACCCTCAGCACCGAACTTCCGTCGCGATACGTCGCCTCCCCGTTCCGTAGGCTACATCGTTCCCTCGCCGTCTACGCCAACATTCTCCCACGCGTACCAATCTCCATCCCAACGCGGTGGCTATCAACCGTACTCGCGCGGTCGCACGCCCGAGCCTCGATCCTACACGCCTGATCCCGACTACGATGACAGGGACGACGATTTCGCGCCGCCTAGCGCGCCTCACCTGCGCGTGAACACCGGCAATGCATCACCGACCCGCGGCAGATTCAGTCATGCAGATCTACCACCAGCGACGCCGCCGCCCAGCGGACCGTTGCCAGATGTTCCCCCGGGCGAGATGGGCGGTAACTCGCCCAGCCCGGGTATGAGTGCGGGTAGTGGTGGCTTCAGGTTCCCACCAAGTCCGAGTGTTCGGGATGCACCGCGAGGACGCAGTCCGCTACTGGCTTCATACAGCCCGACACCGCCCACGGCGTACGCACCTTCACCCGTTCCACCCTCTGCATTTGGACAGCCCAGTTCATCGTCGCGCCCGCCCAGTCGTGCGCCCAGTCCTGGTCCCATCCAGCGTGGTCGTGAGAGCCCATTCCCAGTACGGCCGGCGCGGCCTATCATCGCCGTATCTGCGCCTGCGGATGACGACGAGCCTGATCCTGAGTCGCCTGTCAAGCGCGGACGACCAATGGGATGGAACCAGAGCTCAAGTCCGAATGCACAACTCAGCGCGGGTGTGGCGGGTCAATGGAGTGCAGCGAGGGAGCGCGAGAGGTTCTTGGCTGCTACAGGTGGACGCGAGTCACCAATGGCGCCCGGTCCTTCTCAGGCGTCGGATAGGGAGAGGGATGGTACTTTACTGAACCCATCGTCGTCCATCCGCCGCAAGCCGACTGTCATCAACCATCGCACGGAGATCAGTCTACAGGCTCTTGTGTACCCGGAGGGTACAGGCGAGGGACGCATCACCAGCGCCATCGTACCGGAGAGTGTCACAGGCTTCAGTGACAGCGATGCAGGCGGTGTGAGAGACAGCACCTACAGCGACGGAGGGCGGGATGAGGGGCTGGGGTATCTGCGCGATAGGAACAGCGAGTACTTCGACGATGACGAAGACGTGCGGGGAAGGAGCGAGAGCGCGTTCTCAACCATCGCCAAGACGTACGATGGTTCTCGAGGCCAGAACGGTAGCAGTGGGGCATACGCGCCGAATGGTCGGGAGAGCACCTTGTCTATGAGTGATGCTCTCGAGTATGGGCGGGATAGTATCTACGAGGGTGGAAGAGGGGAGAGCGTGTACGATGTTGGTGGCGCGCTGAGTGCCGGTGTACGTGGGAGTGCATATGACGATGGTGCACAGGACCCACGCACGCTCTTCGGACGAGAGTCGGTTTATGATGACCAGGACGATGCCAGCATCTACCCTCCTTCGCAGAGGACTGTCGACTCGTATTACTTCGGTAACTCTAGCCGGCCGGCCAGTCTTGTGGATGAGCAGCGGTCAGGCGAGATGCGCTCGAAGCTCATGCAGCGCGTTGGACGTGGAGACGATATCATACCTCCTGTACCGGCCTTGCCAAGGGGTGTGAATAGGTTTTGAGGATATTGGGTCGTCTGTCATGTGCTTTCGTTACGATTCACCTTCTTTGATATGGACTGCCTGCCGGTCATAGCGCCTTGTCGTTCGTTTCAATTCGTTTTCTACATACATGCACTTCAGCCTTCCTTTAACCTGTCACTCCTTAACTGCCCACCGTGTCTTCTTCGACTGTTTTGTATATCTTGCAGCATTGCTTGTACATTCATCTCCCATGTATCTCCTGGTCTTTAGATTGCTCTGGAAGTTGGTAGCTTTTCGGATCTTGTTCATGTACCCCACTCGTCGCATATGATACCTCTACTGGTTTCTGCTCTTCGTCCTCCTATGCTCGTTACATCGCAGTCTTTACTTTACGCAATACATAGTTTCCTTCGGTACATACACTGAGCTGACGCTGCAGCGCGACGAGAAGGCAGCGCTGGATGACGCGTTGTGGATGCATGTGGGTCCGGGCTGAAATCATCGGGCGCTTTGTTCGGGTGAGACCGCGCGAAGTCCGTGACGACGACTTGAACAATAACCCTCACCTCTGTATGCCTCTCTATCAAACCGTTCTGTACAGATTTGAAAGAAGGAGACCGTGTCTGCTGACACCGTACGGCCTGTGGCGTGGAGTGTATGTTCTGGAAGTGAACAATGGTATGACATTATATGGCGACAAGGCGAAAGCTGTCGGCTAGCGAAGTCACCCTGCCATACCTCGGCATGGCGACGCCTCTGACTCTGCTATAGACACTCTCTGTAAGTATGCGACTGAAGCTCGTCAAGACGTCTCCATGTCCGGTAGAGGATCAGTCAGCTAATTGAGTACGTAGAAAGTAAGTCCCGAATCGACCTCAATTGCGTGAGCGGAATTTACTCACATCTGCTTTCAGGGAACTGTTGAACAGCTTCATCCGGCCACAACATCAAGGAGTCACTTGCCACCTGTTCATATGCTCAGCAATAGCGATATCCGGCAACTTGATTGAGAGCTTGCGCTACGATGCACGACGCCTCTACCGGGCATCGGTCGATGATCGACTTCACTGAGACAGCACAACCAGCGGACGCCACGCCTGGTATTGACCCCTCGATGTTCGCCCGTCTCGACGATTGCCCGTAGTTGCCTGACATGCTGGTTTCCTCTCAACTTGTGAAAGAGATTACCTTCATCACGCGGGGTCTCAAGACGGTGGATCCGCGATATTCAATCTCCCGAGCATGGGTCCAGAGCAGGAGTCAGAGGCCATACTCCAGGCTCATCCATATCGCAATATTTGCGAGTAGAACTCACTGAAGCCATCGGTAGTCAGCAGCATGATGGATGCACACGATGCGAGGAGGCATCGAGGACGCTCGCACCATCGGCCCTCCCCCAGAACAGAGACAAACGAGATCGGTTAGGCGGCTGTCGGGATAGCCGAAAACAGTGCTTCTTTAACTCAACTGCGCGTTCGTGCACTGCCTTGCATCTAGCAGATTCATGCAGAGGGCGACGACGTGATCTCCATTGTTTACATGCAGGGACAATGCGAGGTATGCCTGGTATCACAATGGGATACCGAAGAATATGCGTAGGATGGCGTGCCTGCATGAGAATAGGTTCGCGTGCTCGCCCATTGTATTTCCTTGCAGCTGCTGATCAGCGCCATAGAGGCAGGATGCGATGTGGCTCTCCTCTAGGGCATGGCGCGAGCACATCGTAGGTGAGAGGGGGTAGAAGGGCGCAAATCTTACTTGTGCTGTATGCCTCACTCGACGCACAGCGACCTCCGCCGGGCCCCGTCGTGGTTGGGTGTGCTTCTACACAGAAAGGTGGTTAATACGTCGCGCCCCAGAATCAGCGCGGCTGACGAAGCGAAAATCGATGGTGGTTGAGTTCAATCGTTCAACAAATTATTGTCCTCATCCCGTGACCGGTGGTGTACTTCCCTCATAACGGGCATGTCCAAGCTTGCTCTGCACCACCACGAACATTGACCCTCGCCCACCCGCCCCGCTCTTCAACCTCAACCAGGTCCTTGCCTCAAGCAACCACCCTCACCAGGTTTGTGCTGGGACCTCACTGTGTCTTTTCGTCCGCCTCAACATTGCACTTCAACAGACCGTCGCAACCACCGACAGCATCTTCACCACCCACATCAAGTATCTCACCACCGACAAGGTTTGTACATTTTTCCAGACCATCCAATCTCTGGCGCTAACCACCGGCCTCGTAGAACAGATGGGGAAGTTCCAGTCGCCCAAGTCTTACCGCATCGCCCGCGAGCTGGGCAACTTGATCCAGCGTCTCCCGGGCGCATACCCGTTCGCCTCTCTTGTTTATCCGTGGCTGGCCACGGAAACCAGCGATACCCCCAACTACACCACGGCCCCCGACCCAACTCCTGCCCCTCCTCTCAGCGAGGAGTCTCGCGTCGCCGAAGAGATCGCTGAACTCCAGCGCAACCGCAACTTCAACGACGCGACGTACTACAGACGCCTCGCCGAGCTCCGCGGCGACCAGGTTCGCATCGCCCAGCAACCCGCCCGCCCTCGCTTCACCGCCGACTTCGAGCGCGAGATGCGCCGCAACAACACCAACACAAACCCCTACGGTCCCAACATCCGCGGCCCCCGTCCTCTCCGCCGTGACCGCTGCGAGCCGTCTATGATGGATGTCGATGGTGCCTCTTTCTCTCGCCCTCGTCCCCAGCCGCAGCCTCAGCGCTCGAACTACGCTCCTGCCAGGCCGTGCCCTTCCATCATCATGCAGGATTCGAGCTTCGTCATCCGCGAGCAACGCGAGCGCAGGGCTCGGCGTGAGGGTTCGATCCGCGTCGAGTCTACCCTGCTTGACCCCGCTGCCATCGAGCAGGCTGCCCGCGACAAAGAGGAGTCGGACCGTATCGCCGCCGCGCATGCCCAGCGCATGACGGAGGAGTTCGAGAAGCGCGTCGCGGCGGCTGAGCGTGAGAAGGCCCGCCTTGCTGAGGCTGCCCGCGCCGAGGCTGCACGTCAGGCGGAGGCCGCGCGTCTCGAGGAGGTGCGCATCGCCGAGGAGGCACGCAAGGCGCGGGAGGCCGCGGAGGCCGCACGTCTCGAGGAGGAGGCGCGCGTTGCCGAGGAGGCACGCAAGGCGCAGGAGGCGGCGGAGCTTGCCCGCCAGCAGGCTGAGCGCGAGGCGGAGGCTCTTCGCGCTGCCGAGGCCCAGCGTCGCGCTGAGGAGGAGCGTGCCCGCAAGGCGAAGGATGATTTCCGCGCCCGTATTCAGCGGGAGAGTAATGCCATCAGGGCCGAGCCCGACGCTATCGTCCGCGCCTTCAAGATCTACGAGTGGAAGATGCAGCTCGTCAAGACGCAGAGCAAGGAGCTCGTCGACGCTGGCTACGTGTTCGATCTCTCTCACCTCCCCTGGCCCATGTTCGAGCCCACCGGTACCACGGCGACCGAAGTTCTCGACCTTAACGGTGGCGAGCCGGAGGAGGCTATCCGCGCTTTCGTTCTCCACCAGCAGCGCCCTGAGGGGCAGGGTGTCGTTAGGAAGGTTCTCCTCAAGGAGGTCCTTCGCTGGCACCCCGACAAGATGAGGTTGGTGATGATGCCCCTCGTCAAGGCTGAGGACCGCGAGCAGTGCGACCGCCTCATCCAACTTACTGCTGGGTACCTCACCACAGTGTACAAGACTGCTTAGAGTCCTATACGCATCCCTCGCCGTCTTTCATTTCTCTTTGTTATCTCATTCCGTTCTCGCTCCCTTCTCCCTATCGACGACTAGTTGACAGACGTGCTTTCGCGTTGCTTTCGTTACCCCACCCTATGTCCCTATGCCCACTATGCCACCTTATGCCTACCTACTATGCCCCTTTTCCTCTGGTCTTCTTGCCGTTTCACCGTGGTTGCCGCGTTGCCGCTTCGTCTTGCTCGCTATACTGTATTGTCCGTGCTTGCTGTTGTCGTCGCTTGGCTTACACTCCCTGTTCTGTCGATTGTCACTAGTCGTCCATATTGTTATACTCTATCTACACTTAAACTCCTTTGTCATTTATCCTCGCTGTGTGAACGTGTGACGGCGACGTAAGTTAACTTAAGGGCGCCTGAGGTAAGGGCGACAACCGGCAGAATCGAACGCTTCCTGGTTGAAGGTAAGGCGTACATCTCCGGACACACATGTCAAGACGTCAACTTGTTGTAACGCTTGAATCATTGGTATCCATATGGTCATTGTCTAGTCTGTATCCGGGGCCACAACGCATTGACATTCTTGTACGTGTTCAATCACCCTTGATGAAGCATCCGCGGCCACCAACGCGATTACAGACGATCACACGTAAAAGCAAGCATCGTATTGCAGGCATGACATCCATAGCACTCTCATACATACCCACATGATGTGTTGACGGTCCCAACTTCCGGGAACACCGCAAGAGAGTAGCGAATGGAGTATGTCCGATCGCGTTGAATGCGAGCGCATCCACGCTCTTTCCGAAAATCACGCCGGTTATAATGAGTTTTGCCCATATGCCATGCCATGCGTGCATGTTATTTTGTCATGGTAGTCGCCCCGTATGCGACCGTGCGGTGCAGCGAATGTGAAGTGAAAGCATACAGCATGAGTTGAATGCGCTCCCGAGCCCTCTCTCCTCTCCCATCCCTCCTCCCGTCTAGCACAAGCAGAAGAAAACCAGTCGAAGTACGAGTGATTTACTTCTTCTTCGGCGTCTTCTTGATCTCCTGGACAGCGAGACCTATATTCATAATCAATACGGGATGAAAGTGACCGTAGTAGCAAAAGTACGCACCAGGAGGAAGAGACTGCTTCAACTTCTCGGCCTTCTCCGGGTCATCGATCGAGAGGGTGTAGAGGTAGCGCGAGCACCTGAGCTTGAACTTGGTGCGGAGCTTGCCACCGGGAGTCTTCGCGGCAATCTTCTTGATGCGCGCGGCTACAGTATGCTGTTCAATATCGAGTATATTCCATAAATGAATATAAACGCACCGCTAGCGTCCTTGCGCTTAGCGTACTCGATGAACTTCTTGATGTCGGTGAGCTCCTTCGGCTAGACATATACCGTCAGCATTTCGGCCATATTTGGGGCAGCATCACGGCGGTGTGCGTACCATGGCGGGCAACGGGCTGGATGGGCTTGACGATGCGGCGAGAAAGTGGAACAGCTCGTCGGCGCGGCTTGGAACTGCAAACCCCACGGCAAGTGCCGATCTCACGGCCTTCGGCGATTGCCGCTCACGCACCCGAGACGACCAACGAAGATCAGAGCAGTACTGCAACTCCTGTTATTGCTAAGTTCTAGCTATACATGTATGCACAACAAGTATATGGACTATAGATAGCACGTGGTCATCGCTTTATCCAGAGCTCTCAACACCATATTCTTCAACTCGTTATGTGGTCCCATGAACGAGGCGCACTTGCAGGGCCCGCAAGATACCACCTTGATGGGCACTTCCGCCACCGCTCTTGGAGCCGCAAAACGGCCCAAGAGCTCCTTCACTGTGTCGATATACTCCCATTCCTCGGGGTGTGCCCACCATACTATACCGCGCTTCATAGCCGCGCGACGCCAAACACGCTGCTGCATTCGCTCACAGTGCGAACGACGTGCCAATGCGCCCGGTATTTCCTCCATCCATGCCCCCGAGATGAATGTGGCGAGAGATGCCGCGTTGCGAGTTGTCTGCAGACGCACGAGATCGTCGAAAGCTTGGCCACCCTGCTCTTGTAGAAGCCGTGCACTTGGTAGGTTGGTCAAGAATACACGCCTGGTGTCATCGTATGGGGCTAGGGCCAGAGCGTAATGTGCAGCATCATGACGCATATCATACAGCTGGTTCTTGGTTGCAAACACGTATACTTCGAACGGGTCGACGGTGAGTTGCGCGCGTAGGAAGCGGTCGACGGTGTCGTCCAGCAATTTGCTGGTAACATCGTACTTCACAGCAGTCTCAAAGACGCTGGCCACGGAAGTAAAAGAACACATCCGGAAGTCCATGTCGTCGGCGTACCACGAGCGAAGGATGGGGAGCATAAGGTCGCTCGCCTCTGGGACGTGGCGGATGTACACCGGGTACGGCATTTTGCCTTGTTGAGCGAGTATCGGCAGATAGGATTGAAATGCTGGATAGCGCCACAGTTCGCGGTCTTTCTTGAAACAGAGGCATGTCACGTCTTCCTTCACACCGTCGACGCTCACGGCTTCGTGCAGTCTGACCACGCTCATGATATCTGGCAAGGGAAAAGGGATGACCCGTTGCTCGAAGATGTGGTGGCCAAGGGTGGCCGACTTTATCATTGCGATCTCGCGATGTAGGAGCATGCCGACGCCGTCCTGACATATGATGAGCAAGCGCGGAGCCAGACGTCCGTTCACTGTAGGTTCAGGGAGAACATGTAGATCTCTCAGGCCGGAAACGCCTGTAAGGAATGCTTCTTTTGGAGGGATAAGCTGATTGGGGTAGATTGGGACAGGAGGATTGGGAGGTAGGAACGACGTGGGTACAGCGCGAAGGATGGCGGGCGGCGATGAAGGGGAAGATATCCTAGGTGGCGCCTGTGGCAATTTGGGAGACGGAGCGCGCGTCTTGAGAAGTTGTCGTGAGCGGGCGAGCGCCTTGTGAATACGAGTGGGTAGTGGTGCCAACCATCGCAAGTGTGGTACGAGGAAACGTAGGTTGAAGAGAATGATCAGGACGTGTAGGATACGATACGCCGCGCTACGTTCGAGCCTGACGACAAAGTTAGATACGTTGAGCAACGGTTACGGTATGTAGACGACGCACCAATGCACCTCAAAAGATGCGATGTAGAATGCAAGTATGAGGACCCTGTGCAAAAGCATGTTCGAGAGTCCAGTGCCAGTGCCAGGGTACATAGACCCAGTTCGCTGATCCTTATCTACCCCATAGTTGTGGTCTGTGGTTGAGCTTCATTCTGAGCGCGAGCGTATGTTGTGGCTAAAACGATCGGGCCCACAAAGCTCGCTCACGAATGAAAGCAGTTCATGCCATGCCCCTTCCCAAAGGCTTGCACACTGAAGCGGTAGAAACGTGGCGAGAACCGAGCCAGAGGCCAAAGTCGACGGACAAGGTGAAGACAAGGGTTGGAGACGAGGGAGATAGAAACAGGTAGCCACGTCCTCATGGCGAGCGCGAGTCACCTTGCGAACTCTGGCAGAAGCCGGAGAGTGGCCATCACGCGGAGATGCGTCTGGCGGCCGCAACATCTGGGATGATAGAGGGACGGTGATTGTATTGAACTGGTCTCTGAGCAGTAGATTTGCTCGGCTCATGATGGTCGGAGCAGAGGGGAGTACAAGATCAGCGAACCAATTTACGCCAGGGCGCCAATAAACAAGCGCTTTCACAGCCCGCCGCGACTTGAACTTGCCCACCACTACGAATATAGAGTCCTTTGTCCCTCTACTGAACAATGACAACCCAACCATACCCAGGCTGAGAAACGGCTGGCTAAAGTAGGAGGATTCGTGCGCCCCTTGTCGTCATGGTATGGCTTGTACCCCCGGAGACTCGTGTTGATGCGCCTTGTATTCCATCTGTGACGGCGTTCAACCGACAAGCACGCCCGGCACCAGCGGCTGTGCCGCGCCTCGTATAGACGCACATCGCATCAATCCGATCGACCCTTGCGCAGACGTATATAAGACGCGCCCTGCTCGTCGTCATGTTCCGCAGGCTGGTCCCTCCCCCCTTCGATTTCAGTGCTGGCCATTTCTCGCGCTCCTTTCACGAATACACGACTTCCTACATCTTAACGAACGAACTAATTCTACGCGTCACGCGAAGATGCCTCGCTTCCTCTGCTGTCTTCCGCTCAGTGTCGGAGTATGGCTGTTTAGCCTGTTGTTCTTCGCCTGGGGCACTGTTTTGACCGTCATTGGATGGTACGGTGTTGCTCAATACGGTGCGTTGTGCGGTGTATAGCTTCGGAGAACTCGTCGTCTGATGGATCGTGCAGAGCGAACTGACCTGGCCCTCACGCGTCGGCAATTGGTCTCGTTGATCATCACGACTTCATCGTGGACACTCCTGCCGCTCATCACGTTGTTCGGGTATGTTGTCCTTGGCAGATGTCATATTCTGGCGCTGACTTTCCTGCGTAGAATGGGTGCTGCTCTGGCCCGAAGCCCTCGTGCGCTGAAGGCATACTCGACCGCTCTTTGGTTCCAGTTCGGCTTCAGTGTCGGTGCCGGGGCGTACTTCTTGTACAACCTGTACCGTCGCAACGATGGCAACTTCGTCACGAACTGTACCTCGCGCAATATCGCGGACCAGGATACCTGTCAACAGGCGTTCAACGTCCTACGCGGAGTTATTGTAGCGGTCTACATTGTCATCTGGCTCATTGAGATCTGTACGTGCAGTCCCCCGAACTTCGTTTTCAACGACTGACATGGTGTCTCGTACAGGGGGTGGCGTTACCATCACACAATACGCAACAGAGCGCTTTGAGGGCTCCGGCTTCCAGTTCACCAACGCACCGCCCGCACAGGCACCCGGTCCTGTCGTCCTCGACCCTGTCATGATGCCGCCTCCCGAGCCGCCCATCCTCGGTCCTGCGCCTCCTGGCCGCTTTGCACCCAACGCCTCCGGGCGCTTCACACCGCCCGGCGGCCAGCCCCAGCCTGCATTCGTACCGACTGCTGGTGGTGTCACTTTGCCACCCGTCATCCCCATCAACGAGACGGGACCGCAGGCTCCGTACGCGTTTGCGATGCCGCAGAATGCACATGGCGCGGCGAACCAGGTGTAGGCGCTGAGCTGACTGGGAGAGCTCGTTCGTTATTGCAAGTTTTACGAATAGTTTTGTTTGGAGCACGATTAATGACCTTCACTGGCTTGAAGTTGCAATTGATACCACTCTCGTTCATCTTGACCTTCCTGCTGTGTGATACAAGGCTCGAGCTGTTTGATTAGTACCCGTCAGAATGATGCGCGCCCAGAGCAGAACTCGGAGTCCGTCGCGTCCGCTGCGCAACCGAGTTGATGCCAACGCCCATGGGCATAAGCGCGCGGCCTCGCTGAACTTCCCCTACCCATATGATTAGACGCTATGATACACACCTGCCGTCCTACTGCGCTGTACAGATACGGATGAACCTATACCTGCATCGTTCATCAACTGCTTGAAATCCCAATCCGTTCACGACGATCACGTCTGTCTGATCTCAGTCGCGTCAACCAGTGGCTGTCCCCGACAACCTCACCGATGGTATAAAGCGCGATGGGCAAGGCACAGCCTCCTTAGGCCGGTCCTCCTCGTCCCCGCCATATCTGCAGGTCCCAGATCCTTACTTCCTTCTACCTCCTCGCGTTCTTTTATTCCTTTGACCTTCTTTACGACCGCGAGACTGCAAATATCTGAATCATGACTTGGACTCTCATTTCTCAAGACCCCGAGCAGGCGAACGTCAGGATAGGCACCGAGGTGCAGGTTCGCGTGGCGTCGACGCATAAGATGTGGGAGATGACGGCCTTCTTGGTGCTTGCGGGTGGCCTGCTAGCGGGAGGCGGGTGGTATGTTATGGTCGAGAGCGGTTCGTTTCTTGGTCATATTTGAGCGCCAGAACGGCAGCTCACAGCCATCCTGATACAGAAACCGACTTGATGGCGCTTCTTCCACGACAAGTAAACGCCTTGGTCATCCAAGCCGTACTCCTCACCAACCTCGGCGCGATCGCGTGCTTCGGCCTTGCGGCACTCTTCACGCGGGATCCCACTATGCTCGGGCTTTACGCCGTGCTGCTGTGGAATCACTGGGCGCTCTCGCTCATCTCGGGCAGCTTCGTGCTCTGGGCCATGATGCAGGGTGACCCGGAGGTGGGACCCCCGGACATGTTGAACGAATGTGCCACCCGCGGACTCAATGCGTTGGCGCAAGCGACATGTGAATGGAACTTCAAGCAGGTCCAGAGCATCGCCATCGGAACGACCGTCGCATTATGGATCATCGAGTTTTGTGCGTATCCGACCAACTCGCACCGTATAGATGCTTATGCCAATCACAGACGCCTGTTGCATCTCCGCTCGCTTTGTCTCCCTCGCGAGCGCGGCAGAAGCCCAGCAGTATGGCGGACCCGAGGACTCGTTGAACTGGGAGCCCCAGTACATGCGCTCTCTCCCTCCGACCCCTCGTACCGCCCAGATCCCCGACGACTCGCATACCGAGCAAACATCACTACTCGTGCCACCTACACCTCGTTCGGGACGGCCGCCCATGACGCCTCGCACGCCGCGCTCGGCCGCTCATCTGGTCGTCGATATGTCGTACGCTAGCGACGACGAGATGGAAGAGATCAAGACCCCGCTGCCGCCAGTCAGCCCGCGACCTATGCGTTTCAGCTGGTGGTAATGACCCGTTCAAGCATACGCTTTCATGATTACACGTCTTCACTTTTCTTAGCGCGGACGAGTCCGTTGTACACTTTTGACTGGATGAAATGACACTCAAACTTCTATTGACAAGTGGAGGCAACAATGCCCGATACATCTGTTATACAGTGTGACGATAAACGCAATCGCGACCAGAGACAAGGGTATATTTGACGAGTCGTAGCTAACGCGGAACAGCAGCCTACACGAATCGTCGACAGTACTGTACAAGGGACTGGTGATACTCTCTTTCCGACTGCGGGATGTGCGCAGACTGCACAGCGACCGGGCGCGGAGGTGGTGGTAGCTTACTACCATGATGATTCGCAAGCGCGCTGTGGTATGCCTTCACAGATAGCGTCTGCGTCGACGGTCTCCCGCCTGCGTGGTCAAGATGATGCCAACAGCAATCTTCTGGCGCGCAATGAGCGTGCCACTTGCTGTCTTTCGTAATGTGCGCAATGTCGGAGAGAGCCAAGTTGGTCCTGGCGGAAGACACGTAGAGTGTCATGGCCATGCACCAGGTACGAGTGTCGCCCGTTTCGAGCCCTTCCCAATTTAAGGCTTGGACAACCCCGCAGTAAGTGGCACGGAAGGATATCGGCTCGTAGTTTGCTTGAGCGAGAGGTTGGCACTGAGATGGGTCGACGGGGAGTCGGCATAGCTGGCTCATGAAGTAGCACTTTCCCTGAGTCGCATCTTCGAAGAGCGTGTTGAGGGCACTGTTGCCCCGCCCGGTACAGAAAAGTACTCCAGAGTTTCGACGTGGCGAGGTGAAGATGCTTCTGGGGTATGATCGCGGCTCATAGAAAGCGGCACATTGCCCGACTGGAATTCCCGCCCGTGCGGCCTGCGCCAAGATGCGCTGGTACAGCGTGTTGCGCAACCGAAGGTTATTGGATGGCTCCTCGATACATTGCCGAGAGACACCTTGGTCGCGCAAGTGCGACATGAGCACATCATGGTAGTGAGCAAAGACTAACTGAGCGATGACATCGAGCCAGGGAATGTAGAGCTCGCTGTCAAAGATACTAGGTTCGTGAACCAGGTTCAACTCTCCGTGCCGCAAGAATTCCGGTGGCAGATCGATCCAGTACACATCGCCGTTGAGAGGTGTATGAATCCCCGAAGACCATTCGGGGAAGAGACGCTGACGACGCTCGTCGAGGACTGCCTGGATACAGTCGACGTTGGCCAGCTGTGCTGTCCAAGTCTGGAAGACGTTCTCGAAGTGTTGTTGAAGTGTGGGTTGGTTGGGAAGGTAGCTGGACTCCAGATGGTAGGACATGATCTAGAGTGTCGCGTATAGAGGTACAGTAGAGTGTGTAAGTATACTGAGCCTCTCGGCGATAATATATATACGGGTGCCAGTGTGGTCGAACCACGCAGGCAAAGGGTTACATGGTCAACATACTTTCTAAGGCACGTATGAGATCAAGATGTTCGTTGTGGCCTCGTCCATAACCATGGAACAAAGTCGACCACGAATGCTGAATACGTGGACCGTGTTGACGGAATCGGTTTGTCGCCAGGCGCTGGACCACGACATGATGCTTGACAATTGGGAAGGGCAACCACGCTACCCCCGAGGTGAAGGTCCATGAGCGTATGTCCACCGCATGAGGAACCACATCTTGCCCCGATTCACTGGACAGGACTCCTATGGCTCCGGTGCAAGGCTATAAAGACAGCATGAAGTCTCTCGCATCGCCGTAATCATACCTTTCATCCCCTCGCGACAAACCTCCTCGACATTCCCCATGACGAACATCCCAGAGGAGTGGTATGCCAGAGCGACAAGTTCAGACGGCCCTGAACTCCTTGCCAAATTGCTCGACGAATGGACCGCTGCATACAACCTCCCTTACTCCTCCGGAGACCCATTTCAAGACGCCATCTCCGAACGCCTGGAGCGACTCTTTCCCGACGACTTCATCTCGAATCTGGACGAAGACGCGTGCTGGGTCGACCTTCCTCCAAGACTCCTCCAAAACGGGGAGTTAAACCTTCTACACGAGCCGTCCATCTTCGCCGATCCGTTCTACAATCCTGGCGTCTGCGTATGGTCTCAGCTGGTGTATCCCTCAATCATGGCGCGTCTACTTGCATTCCTCACGCAGCGTGGTATGCTGCCTGCGGACCTGGATCCAGAGCCTATCAACACCGTAGCTGCGATGACCGCGTTCAATGCACCTGTTCAACGTGGACGGAGGAGGAGACAACCTCTAGAGCGGGTGGCAACTTCGCATTTCAAAAGGATGCCGCGAAGCCTCTTCACTTCTCCCAAACGCAACGCAGGCGTGCTGTTTCGCTTGAACCAGACCATTGGGCTCAGCCGCTCTACCTTCAATACCGCCATGGAGGCCAAAGACTACTTTGAAGCGAGACTTGGGCGTCTACCAGCCAGTATCGACCGGGGTGTTCCTCAACGCAGCCAGGGGCCTCTCAAATCACTCCGCTCCCTGACAGCACCACGGAACAACTACGGCGAGATACTCTGGAGCAATCTTAGCGATGGCGTGTACAACATATGGTGTGAGCGCCCGCGAGATGTAGATCAAGTGGTCTCGCTATTCACGTCCACCAAGGAGACCGACAACGGGCGAGTCCACAAAGACGCACTGGAGTATCTCGAGACCCGCGGTGGGTGGCACGCGAATTGTGCATCAGAGGATCGTTGTCCTTGGCGTGACAACAATGCGACGCGCAGCTGGCGGAATAATATGAACTGGGGGTCGCCTCAGCACGAACACCGAAGGCAGTATGCCTACACCGCGTCTTGTAGAGTCCTTCCTTCCGTCTTAAAGCCGGAGGACCCGATGCCACCCTCTGCGATGGGGTGGGGACGAAGGCTAGCTAGGACAAGAGATCGCTCGGGCAAGATTCTGTTGTATCCGAGCTGGCATTCTGCGCGGGCGAGCCACTTCAAGGAATTTCTGTGATTGTAACCGGAGACCGTCGTTGAAGCCTAGCATGTTGTTGATAGAAGCACTTTCATGAACATATTTTCTCAAGGAGCGCATGTCAACAATGGAAGAGCATACAGACGGTATATGGATAAGAGGTGCTGCTGACTGCAAGTCGGAGCAACTTGCACGAAGGTCATGACGGTGGGAGGCAAGTCGATTGGCTCGGCTCACGTCGCGCGCAGCCACTCGCACTCAACGGCACGGCATCATATTTCCCACCATGAGCGATATCGAGCATTGTCATCGTAAGAGACGACTATCTATTCGGATTCACTACCAGCTCATTTGAAAACGGAGTCTCGCAAAAGTGGTACCAAGCGATAGTCAAGGCCGTATCTCAATACCAGATCTAGATACTGGCATGATTCCCACGATGGAGATGATGCGATCATATCATATGACCGTTCGTATACGTCGTTGATACGTAGTCATGCCTCGTTGCGTATCGTGCCCATTGGAACACACTATGTCCCGACCATCGCACTCGGCCGTGGCGGTGGCGCAGGGAAGTACACACGTCGTCCTGGCTACACATGCAGCACCACTATGTGCTTCCTACCGACGGGGCTCCGTTAAGCGCTGGGCCACTTGAAATCAGTGCATCAGACGACAGCCGACGATATTCGCGCGCGACCGCCGGTGGCGCGGTCACATCATTCTTCTACTTCGGCATCCGGGTCTCCGTAGCGTAGTGTTGAGGAACCAACGTCGTGCATCTCCAGATCCACACTACGACTGGTGCGCGCAGTGTGCTCGACGGCGGCATGTAGATGAAGTGTGAGGCGTCCGAGCATAGCCGTACAAATCGCGCTTGTGAAGGAACTGAAGTATCCTCGTAAAGGCGGCGGTCCAACCTGGAGCATCGTGCAAACGACGGAAGTCAGCCATGTGTCCTGAGGTAACCGGCGGGTAGACATACGAAGTAGGTGAGTATATTGGCGACCGTCGCCAATGTGATGATCACGTAGAACATGAGGCCTGTACAAGACGAGTCAACGACTGGTCTTCTTCGCAACAAGTTCGTCATTCGTACCGTCAGTAAACATGAGGTCGGCCAAGCCTCGGTGAGTGCTTTTGAAGCAATGAATTCCCTCTCCATCACGCCAGCTCACAAGGGCCCTGAAGGCTGTGAGCGCAAGCACGAATCCATCGAAGACTGCCTGTGTGATCCAAGCATATGCGTCGCCTGTACGGTTGACGGGTCCAAGAGTTCAAGAGCAGGCCAAGGACATCGGACTGTGAGTGCGGAAAAGGAAGTCAGGGCAAATATGCTCACGGGTCTCACTAAACGCAAATCGTAGTTAGCCATGTATGTGGGAGCGCGAAGCAAATGAATGAAAAGAAGGACGTGCAAGCGCCCGGTCGGAACGCTTTGGAAAGCATGGGAATGGACAAGATACGCACTAAGATGCAACATGACAGAGGTGCACTCCGACCTTAACAAATCGGTATACAGTGATACGCTCTTCCCCGACGATGAACATGATGCTGATGCCGAAGAGGATCGCGGCGACGCCCGCGACAAGGAAGACAACGCGCCGGTCGTTGTAGTACATTGCCATAACGCGCATGCCCATAATGACTGTGGGTAACTTCAGCTTCCCATGAGGAGTGAAAGCCTACGAGATAAGACGTACAGCACACGCAAAATTGCGTCACGAGGATCTTGACTTTAGAGCACCAGAGGTAGGCGTCGCAACTCTGCTCTCCATTCAGTCGTCGTTATCAGCGCATGTGGAACAGACAGCTCACCAATGCAAGTGCGGGTACATATCCAAGAAGGAGTATGACAAAGGACGAGAGGATTGGCAGATAACGAATGGCGTAGAAGAGAAGGGACGGTCGTGATAGCGGCCGCTGCCACAGTCGCGGGAATTCGTCCGATACGGTGAGCAGGTAGTCGTACACCAAGAAGGCGAAGGCCGCAACCTCAAGTCTCGAGCTGAGTTCTCTGTACGCGTGCTCGTTAGTACAAGTCCAGACTAGGCGAGAAAGGAGTATGAGGACGCACACGACCTGGAAGCTTTGATCGTCCATCGACCCACACAGGGTCGAGCAGCATGGGCGTCGTTGAGCAGGTACAACGGGGCGCGCTTCCGAAGGGAGTGGATGTCGAGACAAGCCTTGCACGAGACCGTATTAATATGAACCCCTGACGGCGAACTGCGCGCGGGCACTTCAGTATGGGCGCTTATATATCGGGGTGTATGTGCCGTGAGCCACTAACAGATCGGCGACAGTGATTGGACAAGGGCGGCGCCACAGTCGAACTGCCGAGCCTTTGAACTTGCTCGCACGAGCACGGACTACCTCCTCCAACGGACGCGACTCGCGGACGGCGCTCCCGCAGAGACGTTACTGAGCCGCGCTGGTGAACGAATAGACGCAACAGAAGAGGCAATGTCTCGGCGTCGCGGGAGGCGGGGGAGCACGTCGCCAGAGTACCACTGCGGAGGAAGCGACGGATGTCACTGAGAACGTCCGAAGGCGGGCGCGTTATATAGACGCGGTGCACTCTAATCAACCAATAGAGATGCCCTTCTGTTAGTCTATACAGAACGGGCGCAGACTCCCGGGCCAATTCCCTGGCGACGAAACCGAATTTCCTTGGGCGAGCGGCAGCAGACAATCTAGATGAGGGACGAGGGATCGTGTGGCGTGTTCAGGACCCGCCGGGCTTTACAGGCACAAGCTAGATCCTGGCCATCGTATAGCAAGGTCTACAGGTGGTCTGCACCAGTGAAGATGAGGGTGCCTGTCAAGCGCTGGGGAGTCCGAGTTATTCGCACGGTATATGTAAGGGTTGGTTCTCCAAGACTGCATGAGGGGGAGTTCCAAGAGATTCGGACACCAGAAGTTCGCACCTCCCTACGTCCGCATGTGCAAACAAGCGCAAATGCCTGATCCGCTCCGTCCGTCGCGGTCGTCTCGGTCCCGCGCGCTCCGAACGTCGGGCTTCCACTCTGGTTTCTGACCACCATGACGAGCTCGTGTACCGTTTCTGTCTCTGATCCCACTTCACCCATGACACGCACATAGACATTCACCACTTTCTCAGAGCTGCGGCACGCATTGGAAAGGCGTTAATAGGGCTGGTTGATGTGCAGATCGACTATCCGCAGCGAAGTCTCAATGATTACCTGCCTCTCATCCTTCCTCCGCTATAGATGCACGCCTTATGTCCACCCTGTCTCGAAAGATCGCGATATTCTAAATGCAAAGTGAGACCTTTCCCGCTGTAACTGAGAGATCTATCATCCGCTATGATGATGGGAGCTATCGTTGAACCTATCCCCATGGACGCTTCAACCGACCGAGACGGTCATGTTGCTCATAGCACCACACCTTGGTGAACAACGTTTGTACCCTCCGTTGTGCACCTGGAATAGATATCTGAGTATCAAGCCCTGTGTTGCGCGATTAGCACAAAATATGCAGTACGGCTGTATCTGGCACCCGAAGACTCTGTTTGCCATGCGATGTGCTCGGCTCCATTTATCTGTCCTACTACAACTCCACTTCACAGTATACGCGGACATTGATATTTTTTTCGTCTTGGAGACTTCGACCATGCCACCTGGCATGATACCTCGTCTTCCAGGCTGGCGTTTTTACCGCTACTCGGCTCGAACGACCAGGATCATTATTCACGACTAACGAACCGGCGACACAGAAGGCTGAGAATGAATCCATGTACGTCAAGATATCAAACCCATCCAAGACGGCTGCATCGTCAATCCACCATGGTCATACAAGCCGCCAGCAGCACACGGGCTGGTAGGTCTGCCGAGGACTGGCATCGGATGGACCGTCGCATCCGACTGCCTTCGGAACGGCCAGTGGTACATAGTGTAGGATAGCCTATCACTATCGTATTCTACGCGTAGCATTGTGATGGGGCATGGAGACGAAGCTTGTTATTAGCATAAGCGTGCCGACATGGGAGAAGACAAGCGCGCGGGAGCGTGTCGCGGGGAGGTCGGGTGCCCGGACCGAGCTATTATCCTAACGGCCTTCCCCAGACGTTTCGCACTTAACCACCACTATGCCACACATCCAATCCAATTAACAGTACACACGGCTTCTCGCCGCGCATGTGTAGTGCGATCATGGGGCACGCGTGTGAAGAGAGGCGCTGTCTGTAGGCCCATATGCCTACGGTATTCGGATGGACAGCCTCGAGCGCTGAGGACGGCGGCACACGCCTGACTTTGCCTTCCCCCTGCCACCCTCTACGCGACGATTCAGCACTTCATCGACGTCAAGCCTCCACTCATCTGCAAGCCTCTGCGAAATATGCCCTTTCTTCTCGGTCAGCTGCAGAAATCAGTCGGCCTCGCACCTCGGACACTACTAGGCAGAGTCCGCCTGCGCAAAGGAAAGCCGTTCGTCGCAGTGGAGTCTACCATGGCCTCGTCCCCGCGCCCTCCTGCCATGCATATGGAAATCTCTACGTTGGAGCCACACCACAGGCGTGAAACGACCCGGTTTCGTTGGCGTCGCGTGTGCCGTTCAGCGACGAAAGACACCTTCCTGCTCGGCTTGGAGGCACTCGCCGACTCGGCAGATGCGTTCCCGCCATTGAAAAGCGCGGTATGTGGGCTGTTGTTCATCGTAAAGCAGGCCAATGTCAGCGAATCTACTATCACGAACCTCGATTGATATACTGACAGTCTTTTCCGTAGATGGTTACTACCAACGCCCAGCAAGTTACAGATGTATATGCTCAGATTGACTCCATGGCCGCTTCTCTCGTACGAGCGATACCCGACGCGACACAGTTGTCGCCGACAACTGAAGTAGCCATCCGCGCGCTCGACGAGTGAGTCATCGCCGTGTCTATTTTATGAACCAAGCGCGGCCTCTGACACGTCGTTTGGTAGAGATGTACGGGCGCTTTGCGCCGACGTGGAAAGCATACGGCGCCAGAGAAGCCCTTCACGCTTCATTCGTGCTCGTCAGCACGCTTCTCAGCTTGACAAGCTTTCGAAGAGGTTGGCGCAAGCAGACGCGTCGTTCACAGTGAGTTGGTTCGAGCGTTGCTAAGCGACGGTCTGATTGATGACGCATTCCTACCTACAGATATGCATGCTTACGAGTACTGAGACGAAGACTACGCAGATCCTCGGACATGTACAGCCCCTGCGAGAAGACGTTCATCGCCTCCTGATCCAGGGGCGCATGCTAATTTTTTTTAGTCGTAGAAGCGAGTTTCGTGTAGTGAACTCAACTAGCTTTTAACGTTGCTGTGCTGTCCTGTATTAGGCTCGCGGTGGCTGTCCTGACCGCATGATGACGTTCTTCTCGTTCTGTAGTGTCAAGTAATCTAACTTATCTTCTGACTCTGTGACTGCGATATATCATCCATCTCGTGCACGTCGGACCCATGAGGTGGCGCTCATCTAAGGTTGAGGTACAGATCACTCTAAAGAGACTCAGCGTCAGTCGTATTCTCGTTTCCATGTAAGTTTTCATTGCTTCGAGATTGTACAGGGAACTATCTGAGAGGCTGGTGCCTGGGTTGAGGATACGGGCATCTCCCTACATCGATATCATGGTACATGAGTGCTGTTGCGACGGTTCACGATGATGCGGAGCTGGGATCGCCATTGACAGCATGACCAGCTCTGACCAGTGGTTACTGTGCAGCTCGGCGCATGAGTGAAGTACTCACGTGTGGCGTTGGCAGACACAGACTTCCGCACTGGCAAGCTCCGTCACGACCTCGCACAAAGATCACGGTACCCGTGGACATACAGAGCTTGGAGTTCGTCGTGATACGGATACTGGCCGACGGAGGGTATGCCTGCGCGTCTACAATAGACAATGCGCACATCGTGCGGCGCTCCCATAGATATTGAGTTCCGATTATATTGCACAGGAGCCCTACTCTACAGGCTGTCCGTCCGCGAATGCCAACATCCTTGGTATCATCCAATAGCCCGCAATCGCCACCCGGAGAGATCACACGCGAACGAGCACGCCCATCCATAACACCTGCACAACAGCAACGAGGAACAAGAATGTGATCCGGCGTGAACGTTGTGCGTGGCTGACGGTGCCGACTGCGCCTGGTGCGGCGGCGTCTGGTAAGACGACTGAGCGTAGAGATCGGAGCTGCGATTCGACTTTGTCTCAGATACAGGCAGGTGATGGGGTGGATGGAGGAGGGCTTACGAGGAAGAAAGCGTTGGCGAGGAATGTATAGACGAATGCGAGGAGGTATAACATTCGCGAAGTCGTGAGCAGCCCAGCCACAATCGTCACGATCACCCTGCACGCGCATCAGCCCACCATCCAAAACAGTGCAACTCGCGAAAGACACGTACCCAACGAACTTATACCCCCCATAACTCAACAAATCCACCACCGGCCCCGACCCCTGCACCCCCAACAAATAACACCCGCCCTTCACAAACACAAAATCGCACAGCAGCACAAACACGCTCTTGCTCCCCGTCACGCCCAGAATCTCCGGATGGAACTTGTCCTGCAGCCCGCTCTGCAGCGCCACCAACAAAATATACGTCGTGAACGCCATCAAAGGGATGTAGAGGTCCGGCGCGTTGACGTCCTCGCGCGGCGCCTGGAACTCGGCCGTGTTGGCTTCTGAACGCCGCATGCGCCGCGTCCAGGGGCGGTGGCGCCAGGGGAAGAGCAGCAGGCGGAGCTTGTGCACGACGTACGAGTTCGAGACGTCGAAGTGCTGCTTCAGCGCGCTCAGCGGGATCAGGCCGCCCAGCTACCACACAACTCCATTAACAACGTATTTCATTATGGATTGAGTGGTGGGAGAGGCGTACGTTTTTGGCGACGTATTCCTGGCCGGCGCTCATCGCGTTCTGCCCCAATTGCATCCCGAACTGCGCCGTCGCGCCGTCGATGCCCCACGCCGCGTACGGAATCCCTCCCTGCCCCGGCGCCATCGGTGCACCAGGTCCTCCCTGCGCATGCTGAAACGCCGGATGATACCCCGCACCACCACCGACTGGTACACCCTGGGTTTGCACGGAAGGCGCGACAAAAGCCTGATGTTGCGTGTGCGGTTGCGGCGGGGAAGAGGTGTAGCGCTGGTAGCCCTGTGGCGAGGCGGGCGTGCTGGGCGGTTCGGGGATGAAGGCGGGGTGGGTGGGTACGGGGTGTTGGAGGGGCGGTGGGGAGCGCGAGTAGTAGCTCATGGTGACTTTGAGTTCATGCAGAGGTTGAGAGTGTAAAGGTGGGAGATGGGATGTTGGAGGCAAGCTGTAGATCAGACTCGGAGGAGACACGTCGTGCGCCACGCGCGGCTGCGCGCGTCTACGCGCGTCCATATGCGCACTCGCGTCGAGATCTTAGATCAACGTGTACATTATTAGCACTACTACAACTACACATACGAGCGTACGACAGAATTATATCCAAAGCAACCGCGAGCCCAGAAAGCAAATGACTACATAAGCAACGACAAAGCGTAATCCGAAAGAGCACAGAGCCTACTGCACGACACAAGCCCCCGGCTCGATCCCCATCTCCCTCATCTCCTCCTCCTGCGCCTCCCTCTCATTATTCCTCATCTTCTCCCACGTCTCCTCCGGGAACCAATCCTGCATAAAGTTGATCAGCGCCCAATCGACATTATCCCTCGTCGCCTGCCCGACCGTCGGCGCGCGGCACACCGGGCACCTCTCCCGCCCGCGTTTTTGAAGCTTCACGAGGCAGCGCACGCAGAAGAGGTGGCCGCAGCCGAGCCGGATGGGCTTGAACGCGATGGAGGTGCAGATGATGCAGGCGTAGTCGTCGAGCGAGGGGATGACGGGCAGCAGCTGTGTCCCGACGGCTTGGACGAGCGTGCGCGGGAGCGTGTGTAGCAGGGGCGGGACGAAGAGCGCGAGGGCGTCGGGCGTCGAGGCGTTGTCGGTCAATAAGGGTAGGGGGAGCGCGGTGCGCTTGGCGTGTTTCTTGAGGATCTTGCGCATCGCTTCTGCGTTCGCCTGCTGGAACTACCAGCCCCATCAGCCTCGCCCTCTCCCTATAATAATTACTGAAAAGCACACACCTTCTTGAGATCGAGCAACAGAATATTCAGCCTCAAAAACCTCTCCAGCGCCTCCCTGCTCTCCCTTAACTTCAGCGTCCGCCGATCGCCCAGCCCCGCGCCCGTCACGCGCTCCGCGAACGCCTTCAGCCGCACCTCGGCGTCGGCGACGCTCCGCTCGCCGCGCGCGCGCTCGCCGAGCCGCTCGAACACCTCGCTCTCGACGTACAGCGCGAAGATCTCGCGCCACGCCGTGAGGTCGCTCTTGAGCGCCGGCGCGCGGCCGAAGAGCAGCGGCGTGCTGATGGCGCTCGCGTCGGCGCCGGCGCGGTGCGGCGTGAAGCCCGGCCCGAGGAGGTTGAAGTTGAAATTGAGTCCGCGGGAGGAGGAAGAGGAGGAGGAGGAGAGCGGGCGGGCGGAGGCGGAGATCTGGGAGGCGAGGGAGGAGAGCGAGCGGGTGAAGTCGGCCTGGACGTGCGTGAGGTGCGCGGCGAGCGTGTGTAGGGCTGTCGAGAGCACGCGGAAGAACTCGGTGTCGTGCGCGAGGGGGACGACGAGCTCGTGCGCGCCGTCGCATTCGCTGGGGAAATGAACAAACGGGCGTCAGAATCAGCTGACACGCCACACCAAAAGAAGGGACAGAAGGGAAGAAGGGGGCTTGTGGCGTAGGGACCCGATGGGAGAAGCCGGCGGTCAAGTCGCATTTGGCACAAGAAGGGAAGATGATGCAGGATGATGGAGGCGAGAAGCACACTCACATCAGATCGCCGGCCCTCGCGAGCTGCGTTGCCGCCGGTGCAGAATTCCATTGTCGAGCCTCGTCCGAGGCCGACGAACGTGCGCCCGCCCGCACGCCGTTATTGGGCGCGGCCGTGAGTGCGAGGCCGCGCTGGAGGGCGTAGAGCAGGGCAGGCGACCGCGCGGCCCGAGGATTCATAAGATGCGTAGACGCAGAAGAGGAGACGCCGTTTCTCGCCCCGTCAGCGCTTGTGCCTTCGCCCCGATCCGCCTCAGGCTCGTAGTCGACATTCGAACTCCGCTCGTGTTCCGCGGTGCGTTCCTGTTCAGGTTCGTTGAGGTTCGGATCGTCAGAGGACTCGGCCTCGGACTGCGACTCGTGCTCGCGCTCGTCGACGCTCGAGATCCCAGATCCTGATGCCTGTGGCGCAAAGTACCGATCGGGCAGAATAAACCTCAGCCGCGGCTCGATGCCCTCTCCGTCGTGTTCCCGTGCAAACTCGTACACCACCCTTGCATGCCCATTCCCATTCCCATAAGCCGGCTGAGACGGGCTAGTGGGCGCGGAAGAGGAAGAGGGAGAGGGAGAGGGAGAGGAAGCGGCATCGGGGGACGGGTGCTCGGCGTCCGGGGCCGCTCCGCCCGGACCGCGCTCGCGCTCCTGCTCGGCCAGAAGAGCGCGCAGACGGTCCGGTGAGAGGCCTATGGATTCGAGCTCGTCGACGATGCCGTGGATCAGCTTTTTGAGCCGCTTGTACTCGATCGCGCCGTCGCTGATCTCGGGCGGGAGAGAGAGCAGGAGCTCGTCGTACGTCTTGCCGAAGTGCATTGGTGTGGCTCGTTATTTCAGGCTCGAGGATGGATTTGTGGTGGTTGAATTGGTCGTTAGTGAGCCTGCGGCGTGGAGAAGAGAGAGAGCGAGGCGCGCCGCGGACGCATCCCAGAACAGTGGTGGTTGGCGGTCAAGTGTCGTCTTGTTGCGAGGCGGTGACGGAGCTCGCGAGTGCGGCAGTTGGGGCGCGCACGCCACACGTGCTTCCACTTCGCCGATCGCGCTTTGACAGCTCCGCGCGAACGCCGATGGGCCTCTGTTCCGAACGGCCACCATGGTGGTGCGGGGGATGAACGTTTGCGTTGCCCTGGCCCTTGTAGTATCATGCAGGGCGGATACCTCTGCGACTGGGGGCCGAGGAAGAAGTCACGATTTGGAACTCGGCGACACTCGAGCTGAGGCCGAGCTGAACGCGATTCTCTATCTTGCTCTTAAATGGTTTCGCATCCCGACGTCGTACTGATACCCACGCCCTCTCCAGGTGCTTCAAGTGGAGTCTCATTCGCGGAGTCTCATCGCCTTGTACGTCTCCATGAGTATGGTTTACGCGGACAAACTACTAAACAGGGTCAAGTAACCACCCCCACAATACGAAGAGCCCCGCACGGTCGTCGCTTTGGGTTCACCCAATCTCGTGAGTCGTAACTGTGCGATGGCCTAGAAGAGTGCATGTATATACAAATGCTCTACGTGTTCCTATATTATCCTTAGCATAGCCTCCCGGCATAAGTATCGTTTGCTGCCCGTCTCACATGCCGAAATCGGATGGGTGCTGAAATATCAGCCTGTACGCACCTACGATGACGATTTGACCAAAGAGAGTGATAGCTTTGGGATCCATCATACACGACGATCTATTATACCATTGAGCGGAGGTATGATATACATGAATAAAAAGGCAGTGACCACTTGGTATATGATAAGTATCTGAGGCGCGAATGCGGTGCGGTACGCGTCAGAAGTCAATCAGCCATCAGGGTGTTGGTGTGATCCCCCTGCAATCTGCGCCCCTACTTAAGGAGGGCGTCCAACCAAAAAAAAAAGGTTGCCCGCCCCCGACCCCCGTTCACACGCCTCGCAGGGCTTATTCCGCAAATAATCAAGCGCTTTGGCGCCGTTTGCCTCTGCACTGGACGTCATGGTCCTCTGATTAGCGAGTGCGCATTAGCCCATGAGACAACACAAGTGTGAACGAAACGGAATACACACCATGAACGCAGCATCCGCGTTGTCCAAACGCCGCACAATATCTTGCAATTGAGCGCGGTGTAGCTTTGCGCAGATGTAACGCTTCACAAAATGTTTACGCTCGTGCGTTATGTCTCGAAGAGTGATGCAAACGGCCTCGATCTCGCTTTCGCAGTACTGTCAGGCCGAGGGGGTGGGATAGACGAAGAACGGGAGGTACCTTGTGAGAGCACGAAGCGCTGCCTCGTGAGCGGGAGAGGGGGTATCATCAACCGGCATTGCGCGCGCGATCGACTCTGCGATGATCCGGATACGCGCGTATACGTCCAAGACTTGAGTCTTGTTGGATGAGACCAGCTAGTCAAATCGTGAGCGAGATGCGCGACGCTGATAGAGCCACTGACCTCCACCTGGTCAACGACAAACGATAACCCGCCAACGGCGCTCTTCAAGGGCGGAAAGGCGTCGGCGGACGCTACAAGCCCCTGCAACAGCAACAGGAGGGCCTCTTTCGCCACCTCTCTAGATTTGCGGTTCGAGGGAGCCACGTCCGTCGTCTCGGCAATCACATCGGCGAAGTTCGCTGGGAACGAGAGGGCAGAACTGCTCGATGGTGCAGGCGTCGAATGCGAGCCTGTTGCTGTCGTATTCGTGGACGCATCCTCGGCGTTTTGAGTGACCCTCTTGCGAAATTTGAGAGATATTCTAGGTCGTCCTAGTCGAGCAGCGGTGGTCAGAAGACGTTGAGGAAGATGAAAAGCTTTGTGAGGCGGCATGCCAAGATTGCTGCAGAGGTAGGAGGGTACGTTCAGGAAGGAGGGAGAGTCAGCAGTGGGTCCGCCGCGCTCAGAGGCTCGAGGCTGTTCATCCGAGTACAGTAGGTATATGGGCCTACAGACAGAGCCTCTCTTCGTAATCATGCCCCATTAGTGCGACTCGTATGAGCTTCCAGTATTATGGTGGCCGTGGGTATGGTATACTGCATCCAAGCATCAGATAACGTTACATAGTGGTGGTTGCGCGCAGAGGATCTGGATAATGACGACGCCGGGTTGATGGGTGGCTCGGGCCGAGTACCCGACCTCCCCGCGACACGCTTGCGCGATTGCTCCGCTCCTTGTCTTCTCCTATGTCGACCCGCCCATGATAAACTGATGACAGGATTTGTCTCTACTCTCTACCATAATGCTACGTATGTAAGGGATAGGACGAAGTTTCTTGCACTGTACCGGTCCCGAGTCCCGAGTCCAGCCTCAACGCGTGTAGTAGAGGAGACACACCTCATACAGCGCTACATCTCTTCCCCGCCGCAACCGCGTACGGTTTTGTCGCGCCTTCTGTTCAGACTCATCCAGTTGATGGTGGAGGGGGATATCATTCGGCGTTTTAACATGCGCCGGGAGGCGCGCTGATGGGTGCGCCAGGCGAAGGAAGGATCTCGTACGCTGCGTGGGGCATTGAGGGTGCTACGGCACAGCCTGGGATGTGGTTGAGCTAGAGCGTGATGAGCGCCGGTCAAAGAGTATGTTGCCAAAGATGTATGTCCAGATAGTCATACTGGATAGAACATAATGCTGATGTACGGTTCAGTTGAGCGGCCTGATCCCGCCAAGCGCGCTAAATCAACACCTCGACGTCCCAAACTTCTACGTCGTGCACAAACTCCGCCTCCTGCTCTTCCCCTGGCGCTACCGCCTCTGGACGCAGCGCATCCGGCGCTCCGAAGCCGGCGCGGCCGACTTTCAAGCGCCCCGCGCGGACGTCAACGCGCCGGACCTCTATATCCCTTTGATGGCGTTTACCACGTATATACTGCTCGTGGCGCTGCAGATCGGATTGCAGGACAAGTTCCATCCGGAGATCCTGGGCGTGACGGGGAGTAAGAGTGTTGAGTGTTGTTGTGCGATTTTGTGTTTGTGAAGGGCGGGTGTTATTTGTTGGGGGTGCAGGGGTCGGGGCCGGTGGTGGATTTGTTGAGTTATGGGGTGTATAAGTTCGTCGGGTGCGTATTGGTTGTGTTTAGTATGAAGTGGATGTGCGAGGACTGACTGCTCGGGCAGGGTGATCGTAACGATCGTAGCCGGCCTCCTTACAACCTCACGAATGTTATACCTCCTTGCATTCGTATATACCTTCCTCGCCAACGCTTTCTTCCTCGTAAGCGCATACTCTACATGCCCATCTGCACTTCCTTCGACTGATGACGACCCTTCGCAGCTCCGATCTCTACGCTCAGTCGTCTTACCAGACGCCGCCGCACCAGGCGCAGTCGGCACCGTCAGCCACGCACAACGTTCGCGAAGGATCACATTCCTGTTCTTGGTTGCGGTTGTGCAGGTGCTGTGGATGGGCGTTCTTGTTCGTGTGTAGTCGCTCTGTGGACAGCACTGGATATATGGACTGCGCGATGGCTGGGAAGAGATTGGGCGGTTTACAAGGACGGACTGTAAAGTAGAGCTTGCGCGGAATAATAAACATACTTCGACATCGATTCGCGTGAATGTGTGATGCTGTTTATGTCCTTGGAATCCCTTTCAAGTTCAACCACGACGTGTACAGGCTCGAACGCGCTGCTTGCGCCGACAAGTACACACAATCCTTGTCGCCCTGCGATACGACGGGTGATGATTATGCGTAGTTTGTGAACCTCGCGACTACAGTGCATTGACAAGCACAGCCCGAGCGCCGGCACGGCGCTGCGTTGCGAGTAATGCTTTGAGTCCAATGTCCGCGAGCTCTCACACGTATAGAGTTGATGACTTGCGATATTACACTTGCTTCATGTAGATGGTGAGGGCAGTGGCCGCGCACGTTTCGTGCAAGACCTGGTTGTTTTGAATAAGATATGTATAGTGACCGATAGCGAGAAAGGCTAGTCTACGAAAGCCGGAGTCGCGATCAGAGCTATGTCAATCCGAATACGATAGAAGCCAAGGACGAGCCACAGCCACTTCAAATTTCATTTTGCAAGTCGTGTCAAAAAAAAAAAACTCCTTTCGCCCCTGGATCAAGAGGCTATGAACCTCTTCCCGCAAGGGCTGTACACATGCTAGGATCTGTGTACTCTTCATTTCCGTACTCGTCAACATGGTTCTCTGGAGTTGGCGTCGGGCCATCAGTGGTCCGTTCTGGTCGGAGTGCGGGGAATAAGGTGCTTACAGTGAAAGTCGCGTCGACCGCTGCGAGCCTCTTCGTGAGCCGTTCAAGTCGAGAAGAGTGCTGGCGGGCACGGATGAAGCGCAGGAAGCCTCGCTGGCGCACGAGGGCTTCTATCTCTGTGTACACGGCTTGCACATCCCTGCATAGCAATGTGTGAGACTCGACGAGGATCACCCAGATCTGGCCGACATAGCTTACATTGCAAGCGCGCGAACGGCCTCTTGTGCCACAGGTGACATATCGGTAACGTCGGGTATGGCCCGTACGATTGAGACAACCATCGCGTCAATCTGGGCTCGCATGTCCGCAATCTGCTCCTTATTGCCAGAGACAATCTAGAGATCGGGTGAGCGCTGGGACGAGAAACTCGGGGGTGTCATACTGACATCAGCCTGCCTTACGAAGAACAGCAGTCCGCAGACCGCGCTCTTCAGTGGCGGGAACGCATCCGCGGATTCTGCGAGTGCCTCTAAGCCAAGCAAGAAGGTGTCCTTGGTCGCTGCACGGGTTACGCGACGCAACCCGAAACGGGTCACTTTGCGGCCGGAGTTGGGCGTAGACGCGGACACCTGCACGGCAGTAGAGAGCAACGAAGTGACCATCGGAGGGTTCACTACGGCGGGCTGGTTTCGTTTGCGCAGGCGGGTCATAGATAGTACTGCGCGAGGTGCGAGTCCAATTGATGTCTGTAGACGGCTGAGGAGACGGGGCATATTTGAGAGTATCCTGAGGATGAGAGGCTGATGTCGAGGAAGTGCTGAATCACGGTCGCGCGCGGGGTGGAAGGGAGAAGGGAAAGCCAGAGGGATTTCGCTGCCCTCAGAGCTCGAGGCTGTTCAGCAGGTATACGGCGCTACAGACCGAGCCTTATCCCTTATGAAAACCTCGTGGGTGTAGCGTCAACTCATAAGTACCACCTTCACTAGGTTCCTTAAGCATCGTGTTGCCGTATGGATTCATGGACTTGCATTGATTAGAAGGCGAGCATAGATTCTGCGACAGTATACTAGATAGCACATCAAGACTGCCTTGTAGCAGCAGAAGAACTCGTCGTGGTGGTGGTCAAGACCCAAGCGCGCCTGGGCCCTCGGCAGACCATCGACGGAAACTCGGACCGCCAACCGAAACTCTCAGCGTGCGCCTTTCTTTCCTCCCCGTGGTCTTGCATTCATCATCCGCTCATCTGCAACTCTCGAGCTCACGACATGAAGCTAGCTGCATGAAGACATTAATACCTACCGCTGCATAACGCGATCCAAGAGCGGGGCCACGGCCGCAAGTCGACCCAAAACTCGCCGCCACGAGCCAGTTTACCACCCGGTTCTGCCTCGACACACGTAGAGGAACCAGAACTCATACGGGCTTCTTCACGGCGACGCCTCGTACTACTATCCGCGCTTCTGGATGTGAGCTTAACTACGGCTGTCCAAGCTTGGATAAATCCAACTGGATACGGAGGGCAACATTTGTATGACGACGTTGCCGCGCCTCGAGCTCGCGACGTTGATGGGATCAGTCTAGTTCTGCCCGCGACTCCGCCTTCGTTCCAGAGTACTGTACGGACAGCGGCGCATCTCTCCAGCAATCTGGAGTCCGAGAACGAACTAGGTATCACCCGACGGTTCGAAGCGCGTGCTGAGCGCTGAGCATCGAACAAGTATACTTACTGACATGGTGTCGTACTTGGGATATCTCTCCTCGTCACCCTCGTCGCGCATTCACTGCTCGCCATCGCAGCACGCAAACTTTCTCCTCTATATGCCCTCATGTTCCAAGGTCATGACACAGCTTCGAGCAAACATGATTCAACGTCTACCCAAGGTCTTTCCTAGATCTAAGCGCCATGCAAGGGCTGTTGCGGGAAACCCGGCCCAGCACCCAGACAGCCGTCTTGCACCAAGTGTGGACTCCATGGCAGTTGCTACTCGCGATACATCGAAGACATTAGAGAATCATGGCCCTCTGACGGTGCCATGTCCAAGAAATCGACGGCGTCGATGTTCTAGGACTTGCACGATGCTTAGAGACACCTTGGTCCTCGGCTTACAAGCACTTGCTGAGTCTGCAGACGTCTTCCCGCCGCTCAAGAGCGCCGTCTGCGGACTTCTCTTCCTCTCAAAGCAAATCGAGGTACGCCTGACACACTCTCTTCTTCGGTAGTGCAGTATCTGACTGCATTACAAGCTCGTGACGAGCAACAAGAGCCAGATTCAAGCCGTATACGCACGAATAGATGGCTTTGCGGCATCGCTGACAAGAGCTATCCCGGATGCAACCGCGCTTTCACCTGAGGACGAAGCTGCGATACACGCATTGGCGAAGTACGTACATCTATGCCTTCAGATGCGTAAGTAGCGAGCTCACAGCACAGCAGAGACGTGGAAAATGTATGCGCCGATGTGAGAGCCATAGCTAGCCATCCATCTTCCCTGCGTTTCATCCGCGCAAGGCAACATTCGGGAGACATCTCGGAGCTGATGGCGAAGTTGGATCGAGCGAACGAGTCATTTACGGTGTGTATTGTATGATCTTGGTCGGCTTTCAACAAAATGTGACGCTCACCAAGTTTCCATGGCAGCGTACCATCATGACGAGCACGAAGATGGACTGCACGAAGATACTTGCTTGCGTGGAACCTATGCGGGAGGACGTTCGTAGTTTGCGCTCGAGCGCACGAACTTTTTTTTTTTGGTTGGAGCGTCTATGAGCTGGACTGGATCTGTTACCTTTGATGTGGAGCGATCTATTCTATCCGGTATCCAGTCCAGTCTCTCGGTCTACTAGACTTCCTTCTACCATTTCACAGCTCATCCTTTGCTTGTTCTTCGATGTTCCCAGTATCCTGTACTTATATGACGCATGAAGTTCACATCGTCCTGATCTCTACGTACATGTCCTTGAGGTTCTCGATGAAAATCCTAGAGCAGCTTTTGACCGAAGGATCAAACACCACCTCTACGTTCGCTACCGAAAGATACTCTCATCTTGTATATGCAAGGAATGAGCTTCAAAGCGTGACGCATGATGGCGGACCAGAACCAACCCGGCGCCGCGAGACAGACGCGCGTGAGACGCGCCAGACGCGGGCGCCTTGCGCCTGCGCGGCTGTCAGCATACCACGATGGCGCCACCCGACTCCCAAACGATAGACATAGCAATAATAGTCCCTCAATTCGGCACCTCAAACGCAAACGCGCGTGGGTATTACCGGCAACTCCATAGACCAAGCCGCACTCATCGACATCAATCCTCAAGAACTCCGACTTATGACGCTTCACATCCGAATGCTGCGAGGGCACGACGCAATGAGCGTCTGGTAGGGATACGCTGTCAACGACGTACGCGCATCCATGTTTGCATGTTGTGATGTCCGTTCATGCTGACGGTCGATCCAGGTCAGCGGCTTGATCCCGCTCGGCGCGCTGAAGCAACACTTCAACGTCTCAACCTCCTGTGTCGTCCACGAAGTTGATCTCATACCCTCGCCATGGCGTCACTGATTTTGGATGCTCTGTATGCGACGTGCTGAAGCTGTTGCAACTGACGCTCAAGCCCGGCTGCCCTACACGAAGGCGTCAAGACGCGGGCGCATGAATTCCTTATACCGAACCTCTTCGCGAACGGAGTCACGGATGGGCGTAACCTCGAATGATTAGACGTCAGCGTCTACACTGTCTACTCGACCGTGCCAACATCTGAATCGTTACTCATGTCCGCACTTCGCGGAGTTGATACAAGGCGCCGACTGGGGTGTTCTTTTTATTGATCCCACGCACATTCTCTCATAGTGCTCGGCCTGTGCTCAGATACGCCGGGATAGCACTTTATGTAGCATATACGCTATGTCTGCATGCTTTCCGAGGATCTTGAGTACTTAGTCCATTTATACCTGATCATCTATGTAGTTCAATCCACGTGCGTGGGGCGCCGATCAACGGGCCGGATCAGCCTATCTCCGACGTGTTCTCGCGTTCGTGCGCTTTGCCTCTGTCTCCCGTGAACGTCGCATAGAGCCCCCTTTCCAAATATTCAGAGTTATGTAACGTCGAGTACGGCTCGCGGTTGATGATGCGCGGCTTGAAGCTTGAAGTATGCTCGGAAGTTATAGACCGCGCATGCTGCTGGCGCAGATGATGGAGTAGCAAAGCAGGCCGAGCCGCGCTCCCGAAAGCTTGTGTCAAGTCTCAAGGGATCCGCTGCAGGCGCATGTTGTCCATATCGATGGCCGTATAAGGTTTGGCATCCCTTGAGGTCAAGCATCCGGAAGTACTTATATCGATCTCCAGAGCTCGCGTGGGTCACAGCCCCGTGAAAATCGTACTACGTCGAGCGCGTAGGGAATAGCGCCCGGTACTTTACAAGGTAAGTATACGTTCTGTGCCGTCAACTCAAATGCAACGCTAACAAACTTTCCATGACGTTCAAGTTTCCTATCTGGGATCCTGTCTCGCACACCCACCGCCCTGCGTCTCTCCTGCCCCTGCTTATGATGTGCCTGCCAATCGAGCAGCTGCTCCGCCCAGCAACGCCAACGGCGGCCGCAGCGTCATGAAGCGCGCAGGGCCCAACAACGGCAGCACTCGTGCTTAAAGTTGATCTGTCAAATCACTGACGGGCCCATGTATGTCCAAATTCGAGCGCGCCGAAGCACAAGCCGCTGTCTGAGCCATTTGCATTAGCTTCCGTACATTTAGGACGGTCAACATATGCCGGTCGCAGGTCTCCCCCTCCTCTCTCTCGCCCGTCATCTGCGCGCGTTCGGTCTTGCGTATTCTCGACGGCGCCCCAGTGCGCCGTCCCATCCCGGCTGATGGACATCGGTAGCTTTCAGGTTGTGTGCGTAGTAACTTTGGTTCCACAACTGTCCCCCTGACCCACCCTTCACTTGTGCCTACGATGCCTAAAGTGCTGACATCTTTAACAGGGAGTTTAGTTCTCGGTTGGAGATCGCCACGTTCGCGTTCTTGGTGTACGACTACCTGCTCACGTTTTCGGCCGAAGCGACATACATATGGCCCCGACCTCTTTCGCGCGCGTCTATGCTATTCTTCAGCATTCGCTATATACCAATACTGGCATCTCTCGCCCTAATCGTTCTTGGACATGTCCCTTCTCTTGCCATTGTGCGTATGCCCCCGCCGCAAAGACGCCGTGCATGATCTGAACTTCGAGGGCAGGATTGCGGAACATATGAATGGTGTGTGAAGGTGAAGCTACTCGCAACACAAGTATACGTTTGTAGTGAGTGCCCATTGTTTCCTGCAAGACTAACACGCTCACCTCTCTAACAGTCATCATGGGAGTGCGAGTTGCTGCGATGTACTACAACAAACGGAGCATAGTGGTGCTTCTCTTCGTCGTTTCGGCTACTCTTCTTGGCGCAAGCATTGGCATCATCGTGTATAAGGAGAACGCGACGGTGTACACTTTCATAGGCCTCGGGGTGAGGCTATGTCAGGCTGCACTCTAGTGAGTTATCCTCTCTGCCGCGTACCATGTCCCCTACCCCTCTTTCGAACACGGTCATCTCATGCTGACACCTCATCGCAGTGACGAACGTGAGGCAACTTACTGTATCCTCGGGGTATCTTGACTGAAGCCCTCGCGCAATCCTCCAGGAGATGCATATGCATGGGTCATGCAAGCTGTCTTCGACGTTTTCGTACTGATCCTCACAGTCCTGCGCACTCTCGCGGATTGGCACGAGGAAGGCGTTCGGCGTTGTCCAGGTTCCGGTAGAGGTCTTGCCGATCTCATGTTTCGCGATGGTGCGTGTATCCGGAGCCAACCGTATACCTCAGTACATCGAAGGGCTGATACTGTACAGGAATCGTGTTCTACGTGGTGATCACGCTCGCAACCGTCGCGAACATCGTTACCTTCTTCGTAAGCCCCTTTCATACACCCCCCTATCCCGCAGCTCAAAACCGGATCCCGTTTAGGTCGGACCACCACTGGCACGCGGCTGTCTTAGCGTACTAGCTAGTGCGATCGGCACGGCTATGCTAGCGCGTCTCACGCTTCACCTGCACGCCGCTGTCGCGCGCACTGCTCGCGACAGCCGTAGCGTCGACCTTGACATCGTAGACGCTATAAGCACAGACATGCCTGCCACTCGCGACTTGGAGATGCTTGATATTGTGGGGGACGTTGCGTACAGGGTGCAGGATGACGGGGAGTATATCAGCGCGGCTTTGGACTCGCCAGTGGATAGCGAGCATACGCCGAAGACGGACATCCTTAGCCACGTGGCTATGCCATGATCTCAAGGCTGGCGTTGTTGTATGAGTAGTATGCATGGACAATTCAAACCCAAAATACGCCATTGGGATAGGATGTATACTGTACAGCATTATTCTGTGACGTAGCCATCCCATCACGCACACCAAAGCCCAGAGGTGGATGATTTCGATACGATCTTCTACACACAATCTGCTGTGGCTTATGATAGCCCATCTTTTATTCCGGTCAATAGACCTAAGATGATACAGGATACAAGTAGTCCGATAGCGATACCGCGCACTCCGCGTGCAAGCCCTTGTGCCCAGGTCGTACGCCGTCCATGCATTGCTTTCTTCTCAGGAAGGTTAGTGCCATCGCCCCGCTCTACGTCGTCGAGCTCCACTTCGATTCGCGTATCGCGCCTGGTAGTCCACAGGTCCAGTATAGAGTCCAGTAGTTGGGCACCGTCTAGTCGGGGCAAAGGGAGCAAGTTGAACAGGTATAGCGAGAGCGTTAATGCACGGACGTAGCTGCGTACACACGAGATCTCAGCGAAAGGACAGGAGAACGAAGTTGGGACGTACATAGCGAAGGTGGATGCAGCATCTGTAAGGATGTAGCCAAGGCCGAGCGGGCCTCCGCCAAGTCTCGGCAGACGATCCGCGACCTCCACTGGACACATCAATCAGCATTGTACAGTAGTGACTGCACTCGTAGAGCATACCTTGCTCATACACTTCGTTTTTCGGCCCGCGCCAAAGTACGACATGTCCATCCTCCAACTGGATGCGCATAATTGGTGGCTCCGATGGTGCAGGGCGCACGCATACGCTTCCTGGGCCACACGGACAACGTCTCGTAAGTTCGCTTGCCATGATGGGCACTGGATCAAGACAACGTGTCTGTCCCTCCGGTATGGCTCCTTCTGCGTTGAGTGCCCCAAATAGGATCGTCCCTCCTTCGCACTTCGCTGACGTGGGCTGTGTGGCGAATACTTCGGAGTCGACACACCATGGCACATTGTCGGCAGTCGTCTGAGAGCGCGCGAAGTACGCTTCCCAGGCTTCTGTGCCGGTTCCAGCAAGCGAGGTATCATCAAGACTGGCTACGATATCCCCGGGAGTTAGGACATCGGCCAATCCATCGTATATATCCCCGTCGACGGCGACGATGCCGGCTCCGCGCGTTGAGACATCTTGGGTCCAAAGGGTCGATAGCGGTATACTGAAGATGACGAATAGGAGTAGGTTGTGTAGTGCGCCAGCTGCAGCGATGCGTGGCGCACTACGAGCTGGAAGTGGGGTAGGTAGTGCCACGAAGAACGCCGGAATTAGAAGCGTTAGGGAGAAGCCTGTCGATGACAGCTGGATGCGGTCACTAGTAGGGTGGATGGATAGGTTAGAGACTTGAACCAAGCTGCGAGGGTGAAGCCCACTTACAGTGCGGCACAGATGGCATGCCCAGCTTCATGAAATGCCTGCGAGAAAGCAAGCGCGAAGAACAGAGGTATCATAGCTGACCAAGGGAGGGTCACGCCGGGTATCTATACGAGCAAGAAAACAGTTCAGCTCACAAACTCTTGCTGAAAAGCTAGGATACTGCACACACGAGTAGATGCACATCAAGCGCAGATGTAGTAGGCGCCATCCCGACTGGTTGGACAGCGGCATCCTCAACAAGGGTGCGTTTAAACAATCCCATTGATGCATTCGTGACAGAATCATGATTGTATTGTGTGTCGGTAGTAGCTAGTAGCTGTCCCGAAAGGCTTATTGCTATCCTTCCCATAAGCCCAAGTCCGACGACCATCCCCAATATCCCCAGGACCACCCCAACCTCGTAGACGCCCACGACCACGCGTCGTAGACTCCTACGACTTCCATCCGCCATCCATCTTCCAAGTCTTGCATGTACAACATTGAGCCCTGTGTACTCGTAGTGGAGGTACACGCCCTTGAGAGTGATGTCTGAGTGCGTGCGGCGCGTCAGCGCATGCGAAGGAAGTAATGATCGAGCACGCGTTGACGTCTTGAGGTAGCGGTGGAGAGCGAGCCAGAAGAGCGAGACGATAGAGATGAACAGAGGAAGGCTCATGCCATCCGGTGAAAGATCGGACGATATGCTCCAAGACCTGCGGGCCCGAGCGGTGGTGGTGGTTCAAGACGAAACCGTGTTCGCCACAGGCACGCGTGTTTGGCTTCCACTATCGCACGTTCCTACCATTACAATACATCGAGGCTCTATTGATTAGCTGAGCGGTACCCATAACCAAGCCTTCCTGTACATTACTCTACAGCAGCCCGCATTTTCCACCCAAATATAGTATAGTCTCAAAGCAAGGCAAATCACTGTGTCTTCTTCTCCCCCTCCAGCATACGCTCGGCCTTCTCCCTCTCGGCGCGGATGAGCTCTTCCTCGATACGTCGCGCATCACGTCTTGCGCGCCCGCGCTGGATGATCTCTTTCGGCTCAAGGTCCGCGAAGAGCCATTTGCAGGCGTGCTCGACGATGAAGCAGCCGGCGAAGTCGATGACCATGCTCGTTGTCAGCTTGATCTTGAACTACATAGGATGCGTCAGTACGTGGCCAGTTGACAGACAACCTAGCGAGCTCACATCAGTGCTCATCTCAACGACCTGAAGCCAGCGGTTCAGCTCGGGCATAAAGTCCGTAGCGCCGCTAACCGCGACGGCGCTGGCGCCTACAAGACCCCAATAGAGCATCGGGTTCTCACGGATACCCTCACGGAACGGCCGGCCTTGATAGTTGAGCGCGAATGTCGAGACCTGTTGCGAAAGTCCAAGGAGGAAGACGGCCGTGTTGAGCAGGTTTGGCTCGAACTTGGCTTCAAGGTCGATGGGTCCACGACTGTGGCAGGGTCAGTTCTTGTCTACTTTGTGTGGGAGTCGCCGCGACGTACTCTTCGAGCGCATGGCACAGATCCGTGATGTACACCATGGTGACGATATGCAGCGCAAACTGCAGCAAGACGCTGAGCAGCACGTAGAAGTTGAAGATGTTGCCGAGTGGACGTTCGCGCGACAGCTTCTCAACCGGCTTGGCCCGTGAGATACACAGGAAGCAGACGCTCATGAGCATGCCAGTGACGGTGATCTACAGCAATGTCAGCCAGATGCGCGTACAGCACAACAACATCGACTACGCACCTGGTAGTCACCGTACTTGATGCCATCGAGGTACTGAACCGAGAGCGAGTAGGCAGTGATGAGACAGTTAAGCGCCAGAATCTTGTACATCTGGATCGTCGCGACGAGCGTCGTACGGCCCTGACGAATGATGTGCACAACTGCCCAACATCTGTTAGTGAAGCACAAGACACAAGTGAAAGGGCTACGCACTGGCTTTGACGTTACTGAGCTTGCTCGTGAACGGCGCCGCGCAACTCGCATCTCCAAGCTTAATCTTTGGCACCTCATCCTCTCCCTCCATGTTCGCAAGGCTATCCGTGATACTAGCCATATCGAACTTCTCCATCGGATTCTTCTTCCTCTTCTCGCCCAGCTCCGCGAGCGCCTTCTTCTGCGCCTCGACGGCGTCGGGGTACAGATGCGCGATGGCGGGCGGGACGGGGGGCGGAGGCTGATTGAAGCGCGCGGAGATGTTGAGTTGAGATTGGTAGACCTTCTTGACGCGCTCGATGCGCTCGTGTTCGGCGATCTTCTTCAAGTCCTCCTCGGAACCGTTCAGCAGCGCAACACCGACATGACCCTGCTTAAGCGCCCCAACGTCGTTCGTTCCGTCGCCAGCCATGAGCGTCGTATATCCCATACTCCTCAAAGTGCGCACGATGAGCTCCTTCTGCGCCGGCGACACACGCGCATAGACCCAACAGTGATTCGCGAGCGTATGCCAATGCGGTCCTTCAGCGTACATCCGCAGCGCGGCGCCCGTGAGACAGATATCGTAGTTGTCCAATAGCTTCTGGTCGATAGGGTCGGCGGGGTTCACGGAGATGACGACCGTCTCATCGACGGAGCGCCATTCGAGATCGGCGTCGGATACGGCGTCGGCTTTGCGGTCGAGGATGAGCCCGGGGCGGTCGACGATGTCGACTTGTTCGGCAACGTGGAGAGCCGTGAGAGGGTTGTCGCCCGTGATCATGATGCACCGATGACTCGCGTCCCTCAGCTCCCTCAGACATTCTTGCGCATCGGGCTTGAGTGGCGCATGGAACACGAGGAAACCGGCGAATGTGAGATTGCTCTCAACTTGCTCGCGCGCCATCTTGTTGATACGGTCCGTGTTGAGCGAGTCGAACTCCTTCATGCCAAGCGCAAGTACGCGGCTTCCGCGACGAGTGTACCATTTGAACGTCTCGTCGTAACCCTCCGGAACGCGCGAGAGCATGGTCTTAATCGTCTCGGGTGCGCCTTTGACGGCTGCGAGGCCTTTGCCGCTGTTAAATGTGCTGATGGTGCTCATACGCTTGAGAGCGCTGCTAAATTGGAAGCGCCGGCGGATGGTGAGCTGCGTGCCCTTGAAGCTTCCGCTATGCGGGGAGAGGTGGTCACCCTTCGATAACGTCCATTCCAAAGCCTCGAGGGTGGTCTTCTCCATCGGGTCGCCAACAATAGTGCCGTCGTCAAGTCGGACGAGCGCATGTGCGCCCGCCAGAGCGAATACCGTATTGCGCGGGGCGGTGGCCACCGGAGCGAGCTCGCGCATGTTGGACGGGTCTGTGCCGGCTACACCCTCAAGGACGAGATCCTCGGCGGTGATGGTACCGGTCTTGTCGAAGCAGCAGATATCAACCTTGCCCGCGAATGGGATGCGGAAGGGCTCGGTACAGAAGATAGCGAACTTGTTGAGTGCGACGAGCGAAGCGTTGACGGCGAGCGAGAGCTCCATGGGCAATTCGGGCGGAACGACGGACGTGACGATGAGCACGCAGTCGAGCAAGAGCTTGCTCTTCTTGAGGTCGCGCTCAATACCCTTAGTCCACACATACCAGCTCGCGGCAAGCGCGAAGATGAGAAGGAAGCCGATGAAGAGGAAGCTCTCGAGGTTGTTGGCGCTCACGCGCTCCGTTGCGAAGATCATCGTGCGTACGAGCTGGCCTTGAGCGGTACCGAAGCCAGTGCGGAGGACAACACCGAGCACGCCACCGTTGGGTGTGTCATTGGTCGCGCCGGGTGTAGCTTGGAGGAGCTTGGTGCCGGAGAAGAGGACTTGGTTGCGGTGCTCATCGTCCGCGGAGAGCTTGTCGGCGGGCTCGAGGAGGCTGATGCTCTCCTTCAGCAGTGGCGTCGACTCTCCGGAAAGCATGGCTTCGTTGACGATGCATGTTCCCTCGACGAGTAGGATGTCCGCGGGAACAACCGTCTCCGCTTGATGCGTGCGCACGACTGAAACGACGTCGCCGGGCAGCAGGCTGTCGGACGAGATCTCGAGCCACTTGCCGTCGCGCTTGACCATGATCGGATACGGCTGGACGGACATGGTGCGGAACTCGGTGAGAGTGCGGAGGCGTTGCCAGACGGTCGTGCACTCGAATGCGACGAGCATGAACAGCGTGAAGAGCGAGTAGTACCAGTACTCGTCGAGCATCCAGAGGGTGACACAGAAGATTTGGAAGACGAAGAATGGCGCGGTCGCATGCTCGGCGAAGAGTTCGCTGAATGCGGGTACCGGAATGTTGAACACGTTCTTGCCGTACATGCGCTCAATCCCCTCCAGTTGCGCGGCCTTGAGTGGCTTCGGCTTTTGGAAGTCGCCGAGTGGCGGGTTGGAGGAGGAAGGGTATGGAAGTTGGCCGAGTGTAAGAGGATCGGTGCTGTAGACGGTGTATGTGTCCTGCTGGTAGATGAACTTGTACGTCGAAGGGTCCTTCGGGTCGAGCTTGATCAAGTTTACGATCTCGCCCTGGCCACGGTTGGCCTCAGGTACGATCCGGACGCAGTCAGCGTCTTGTACAGAGGTTGCCTACATTATTTTGTAAGCACTTAAAAAGATACATTAACGCTATAAAGCATACCTTGCGAGTAGTAACCCAAGCAGCCGCACCTGCGCTCCAGCGCGTGACCAGGAAAGATAGTGCATGGCCAGCGCCGAGCGTAACGCACGCAAGGAATGTCCATTCTTCACTCTTCAGCCAGTCGTCGTAGCGTATATAGTACGCGTAGGCCAGTAATGGGTAGAACACCAGTGATGGGAGCGCGTAGAGATGCGTCCATGTCGGTGTGCGCACGCGCAGCTCCGCGCGTGCAATCTCGGGTGATAGTACTTTCACTGGCGCCCTGCACACTGTTATCACTCCCATTGCATGTAGACATGAGATAGGAAATAGACGAACATGATGGCGGAGTGAGAGATGGGATGCGGACCAAAAAGCGTGCAGAGCGCGCCATAGACGTGTCTTCGTGACGCGTGGCGCTGGACATCATCATGATTTGCATCTCAGGCTGTCAGGCGCGCGAGCTTCTTGACTTCGAACCACCACCGTTCAACGAGCATGCAGCTCTGAAGTCCTGACCGCAATACAACCGCGATATACTTGTAAACTATCTCGGACCAGTTCATGATTCTGGCCCTGTCCTGATAGGCTGTTGACCAACTGCCAGCGTCAATGTGTCGACGTTGTCGCGGTACTCGTCACGGTATACGTTGGAAAGCTTCCCAGTCCTGAACGAGCTACCGGACACACTATGGACGAGCGCTCTGACCGTGAGCTGCATTAACTAACACTTTATACTCCTGCGGCAATCGCCACGCGAGTCGTCCTTGGGTACCCTCACAGCTTCGAGCGAGATGGGCGCCTGTGTGCCTGCGGCACACCTGTCAGTCTCTGAGCATACCTGCCTCGGAAACACTACCATCTTTCTCTCGCTCTACGCCTCAATCTCCCCTTGCGCCTGCCTCCGCTGCCTTCTTCTCGTCGACCCATCTAAGCTCGTTATGCCAAACCTCGCCCTGCTCGCGCCGAGGCGTATTCGGACGGCCATTATCCGAGTAACCCTTCGTCCCCTCCGCAAGACAGCGCGCAAACGGCCTGTGCAAACTAAAGCAGGAAATGCGCCCATCGACTCCACGATGTCTGCCTCGGCACAGAGTAGCGCTCTTCTTGCTACCATCCCGACCGGGACCGTCAGCACTCGCAGCCTGCTGAAGACGAAGAAGCTCGCAGAAGATATCAAGGAGGCTCTGCTATTCGGTCTAGAGGGGCTCTCCCAGTCTGCCGACGCATTCCCCCCTCTCAAGAGCGCCGTTGGAGGACTGCTTTTCATCGTGAACCAAATCGAGGTACGTTCCGGGAGCCATCTGTAGGGCACGATGAACTAGCCACTGACTTGTACGCTAGCTCGTTTCGAACAACAAGAATCAGATACGCGAGATCTATGCCCAAATCGACGGATACGCGGCTTCGCTCGAGCTCGCGGTTCCAGACGTCACCGCGCTCTCTCCTGCGGGCAAAAACGCCATCTGTGCATTCGCCGCGTAAGCTCCTCCTCGTCTACCTCGTCTAGTTCTCTGTCTCACCCGTTCTAAGGATTATCCAGGCTGTGCGCAGGGATTTGGACAGCCTCGTGCAAGAGAAGTGTTCCTGGCGCTTCCTGCGCGCTAAACGGCATTCGGCGCGGCTGCAAGCCATCCTAAGGCAACTGGACCAGGCAGATGCCTCCTTCACTGTAAGTTCTGAGAGACTCAACATGTTTCTTTGTCTGATTGTCGTGCACTCTGCAGAGAACAATGCTCGCGAGTACTGACGTGCAGAATACGCGGATACTAAACTGTGTACAGCCCATGCGGGAGGATGTGCATCGCCTAATTCTCGAGGCCCGGCTTTTTTTTTTAGCATTGTCCCACGGAGATCGTATAAGACACCTTTGGCGTCAACGAGGCTGTGCAGATTACCTTGAGGATTTCCTTGTCGTTTTCAGCGCGTGCAATGTATCTACATCTTTAATCTGACTGCTTACAGCATATTGTATAATGATAGACCAAGAGAGGTCGCTGCAACACTTACAAGATGGGTTCAAGAGTTGTTTACCTGCCGTTGAACTTGAATCACCACCATCACAATCATGGTCAAACCCGAAAGCCTGACCAATGGAGCCACTCACCGGTGTCATGACCCAAGAGCTATGCCAGGGATGCCCTACGACACCTCGCAAGTGAATAACAGTGAGGTGAACGAGTGCAATGGGTTGGATGGAGCGGCGACCCCTATCGCGGCAACGAGCACGGACGTCGACAGTCTAACGGACAGTGTACCCTCGCCTGTCCCCAAGTTTCTAGCCCAAAAGTGGGTCTTCTGTGTCACGTATCCCATCTGCCATACATCTCCTCCTGTGCGATCGAGCGAGCCATGCTTCCCTGACGCCGCCTTGCGCCCAGTCGATGTATGTACTCCCGACTGACGTCCTGCGCCGCCTCCGGTTAAACAGCCCTCTAGTATTCACCAAGCTTGAATGGCGGCATTGCGATCATGTTACTGTCCTCACGGACGCGTGTCCGTACTATTACATGGGCTCAGACTAAGCCCTATCCTCATTGGCGCAATCGAACTTTTCACCCTGCACCCAGTCGATGCGCGATCCATGGCACTGGTTGTTACGGTCCGCAGATCAATGCGCGCTTCACAGACAGTTGTTAGCAGAGATACCCAAGAGATATCAGTCAAGTATATGCGACTGGCACTCCCAATCCGCGAGACGACGTATATGATCACATCAAGGCTGTTCGGTATGTCAACGGCACACGAGATCACATCTTTACCATTTCCGAAACGCAATAACCGGACATCGTCCAGTTGTTGAACAAATCCAATGTAGTCCTCGCATATAGTACTAGTACACCCAATGAACGAGCTACCAGAGCGAGAGGCCAGGTATGGTGGCAGCGGGCACCCAACAGCGCCCGCGCCTGATGACGGAATGTTATAAAGAGCACGACGAGACCTGGGGTATTATCGAAACCGGGATGACAAGGTAGAGGGGAAACAGGATGACAGGTAAGGAGAGGGGTCCGATGGTCGTAAAGGCTAGGTGTCAAGGCCTATAGTGCGGGGAGTCGAAGCGAACGTTGGGAATAGTGTGAGTACGTCCGGTTGGTAGGGGTGAGCCGTTTAGCAGTCGTCGTCACCGGCGGTCTCCGCGTGCGCAGGGACGGCGGCGGTGGGGGACGTCGAGGTCGCCTCAGGAACGGTAACGTTGCCGCAGAGAGCGAGGACCTGCACATGGAGCGGATCAGCATCATTGTCCACTTGGCACGGATGGCATCCAAAGAATCAAGAATTCCGCGGCCAAAGTTCGGCACGACGGATCCGGAGGTGTCATGGAGATGAATGGAACGGAGAACGTAAACTCACCTCGCCGATGTAGAGGTTCGAGCTGTCCTTCTCGAGCTGGGGGTTGTTGGCGAGGACGGTGGAAGAGTTGGTGCTGTACTTCTCGGCGATGCTCTCGATGGTGTCGTTGGGCTCGACGACGTAGGTCGTCTGGCAGTCGCTGCCCTCGAGACCGAGGCACAGGTTCCAGCCAATCTCGAGGTTGGCGCAGAGGTCGTTGATGGTGGGGTTGACGGTGCTGAGCTGGTACCTACAGATACCGGAGACTTAGCATGTGCTCGGAATGATGGAGAGCACAAGGCGTACGTAGATGCGTTCTGCGAGGCAGAGATGGTGTCGCACCAGTCACCCTCCTGGACAGCGTACGTGCGGGTGCACTTCTGGGCAACAGCAGCTGCAGTGACGTGGACAGTCAGCTTCCGTTTGAGCGAGCAGCACGGAAGCTTAACTTACAGCCGGCGAGAGCGGCGAGGGCAGCGAAAGCGGCGGTCTTGGCGAACATCTTTGGTCTCGTGTGGGGAGTAAAAGTGGTCAAACGAATAGAACGAGTGTGGTGCTGCAAGTGAGCGGCGGTACGAGACGAGAGATGGAGGCGACGGAGCGGGGCTGACGGCGGTGAGGGAAGAAAGGGAAGGTTCGAAGCACGGATTTTAGCGCCTGAAGAGATATAGCAACCGGCACGTGTGGGAAAGCAGGAACCATCGCCACCCCGTCGCGTTGCCCAGCGTTGCCCAGCGAATCTGGATCTACGTTCTTCCGTTACTCCCAACGTGTACGCGGAGAGCTGCGTACGTCGAGGCACCCTACTACCGGCGTACGCCACTACTCGTCGCTACATCCCCTCGTCGACGGTACGGTCGTCTACGACTTCGTAGAGAGGGGACGCTGGACGCTCAATGAATTTCCGTACCTTGTCGGGCATCACCAACTTTTCCCCTTGACTGCGCCAACCGTCAACTTCCTGCGTGCAACGGTCATTCCGCGGGTTCGTGCCATCCGCCACCAGTCGGCTGAGAGCGGAACTCGAGGACGCAGTAGAAGGCCGTTTTTAGCACAGAAGCCGCACCAAAAGGCAACCAGAACGCACAAGCGTGAGTCTGATGAACAATGGTCCGCGTACGCGAGAGTCTATCGGTTTATTATTGACTGGCCCCGACTGGCCCCTATAGCATACGAAAGAAGACCGCCTGCCGTTAGCAGCGCGAACAAGAGCAAAACCGGATCCAGAAGCCAAGCAGGTCGCTGATGGACGTGTTGGTACGCTTGTAGATTAACCAAACGATCGCTCTTCCGGGATGCTACAGAGTGTTCAAACGTTCGATCGAAGCGCACGATTGGAATGAAGAACAAGAGGACATTACAGGACTTGACCGGAAATTCGTCCTGTTCCATAGATCTGGCGCCCTCCATTTCCAGACTACTATCACATTCCCGCAGCCTACCCACTGTAACTCGACCTTGTATTGTCGACAAAGTTGTCAAGGCCCATCCACATCGATAATCATTGATAGCTTCACCGACAAGGCCAACATTCTATACGAGATTTAGATAAAGTGTACGTATGGATCCGGGTGTTCCCTTGCAACATTCACGGCCTCGTACGCCCTGGTACCGGTCTTTGAAACTCGCGGCTGGCTGCACTGTCTTGACGAAGACAGCCAGACTGACCGTGCTTCGGACCGACCGGCTCTTGTGTTCGAGAAGATATGAGAGTCACGCCGAAGCGGCAGGCTTTGGCTTAATTCCGAGTTCAATGGGATTCCAAGCACCGAATCAAAAATCGGAGTCGGAGAGAACCTGCTCCCAAAATTCCCACCCCTCACAACTGGTGACGATACGGCAATAAGCCTCAGTTGCAGCCCATTCAACATCACGATCTCTGAAAAGACTCGCCTCGAAGCTTGAAAGTATCTTCCACTGTATTGATTCCGATATAGAATGATAAGCGGGGGGATAAAAACATATCTTTGTGCACCGTTCGATGATAACGGGTCGCATTAGGTCTGCCGTACCACTCTCTCGCTCGAGAACATACTCGACGAATGACAAGTGATAACACAGGACAAACCCAAAGGACACCTCAGACAGATACAACACGGCTTGCAAGTTCTTGACCAGCAATGACACAACCTCTTCTTCAACCCCGGACAGGATCGAGATAAGAGGAATCTCTAACGTAAAGGAGCCGCGTGAACAAAGAAGGTGCGTGACGAGAGCGCGCTTTCTCTTCTCCTTTGCCTCAAGAGTGAAATGATCCTCGTCGAACGCACGGCGGATGATATCAGCGTAGAGGCGATCAAGGACACTCTCTTCCATGCCGGCGCTCAGAGTCGCTGCGCGGTGATCTTGTGTGAACTGTATGATCTGGATTTTCTCCTCCGACTTCCCCTTGGAAGGGAGCGCAGCGCGAGGCCGAACAAGTCTTGCAATCGTGGTGGCAAAGATGAAGAGACCGTTCGCGGTCCTGGCGAGAGCTTCAAGGTAGTCCGTGTTCTCGTGACCGGGAAGCGCCTCGTTGAGACACTTCAGTATGTCATATGCAACAGCGGCCTGGTCTTCACGATTGAGATCCAGGACGCGTACAAAACGATCGCCGTGAACTTGACTCGACGACTTCCATAGTGGATCCAAGATGCGATTGGGGCGGCATGTCATGCAGAAGCGAAGACCCGGCAATTTCATCTCGAATACGGAGCCAAGGACGAGACTCCCGAGGATTTCACCACCCTTGTTTTCGTCTAGCGCATCGATGACGATTATGAACGGGGGAAACCCGTCCCGCTCGGAAGCACTCTTCAACCATGGCTTCAAAAGGAGTTCGTTGAACTGAAGGTCAAGCTTTTGGGTCACGAGAGAAGAATCGCGTTTGAGAGCATGGACGACTTCTCGAGCGAATGACGCAGAGAGTCTGGCGAGATGGTACACCAGGGTCGGCACGACGAGCATCTCCTGAGACGTGTCCAGCTGGTCTGAGCAGAAGTACGAGATCACCGGGACGCCATCGCGCTTCAGGCGCTCGCAGACCGTATACGCGATAGTACTCTTTCCCTGTCCTGCCAGGCCCGAGATCCAAAAGACAGGCGCGTTGCTAGCTGAGGAATCTTTCGCCCATGTGAGGATGGTGTCGAGAATCTCGGTACGCGTGCCGGGGGTACAGCCGCGTCTGGACACGCCATCGGTCAAAGCGGCCGTGTACACAGCAGCTTTGGCAAGAGGGAGGTCCCTCAAGTACGTTTCCTAACACAAGAACGTGAGCTGAGCAAGGGGCGCCCGGCAGGAAGGGACACACCTGGAGGATCTCTTTCGTGTCCATTTCCACGATGAGACCAATCTCTAGCTACAGGGACGATGAGCGTTGCATAGAAAGGCTGATCGTATATCGCACACCTGCAGTTCCTGCACTGTCTGCTCGATTGAGCTGCATATGCCTTGTAGACTGCTCTTATCCTCAGCACTCATCACCGCTCGACGTAAGAAATGGCGGCGCTGTAGCCCTTGGACGTCGACGAGCAGAGTCTGCAACGTCCTAGATCGCACCATCAGTCGAGAAGACGCGTGAGGCCTACAAGCAACGCTCACTTGACAGCGGGTCTCCCCACGAGCCTTTCGGCGCTCGCCTTGTCGACATGGAAGTTATCCAGCCGACCAGCCAAGATGCCCAGCAGCCTATCCAAGCGCTCCATCGCTTCTTTCAACCCGTCGCGGTTGTCCTGTGTACGCTGATAGCACCTGTCAGATAACGCCTGTAGGAGAGTCACTTGGCCCATTGACGAGGGCCTTGGAGGACGTACATCGTACAAGTCAATGATGGCGACCAGTCCCCCGACCGTCGCGTCAAGCGGCGGGAACGCGCCCGCCATGGAGTGAAGGACATTGAGGACGGCCTTGAACCCGCTCCAAGTGATCGAGGCTGCGTTCCGCATGGTTGCCTCGAGATCTATCAAGAGAGCGCGCGTGAACGTCGATCCCAGACACAGTCGCGAAAGAACGAACCGAGCTCTCCCTTGCCGTTCTCGACTGTGATGGGAGGGTTGAGCGCCGGTTCATCTGATTCGACCATATCCGTGCCGGGCCGTCTGAACAACGAGAAGCAACCGCCAAACAACATGCTGGTGGGCGAAAGGAGGATTGGGCTGTGGGAGATCAGTCGACTGAGAGTATATATAGATATAACCCATGCGGACAAGGCGAGGCCAAAGAAAGACGATAGACGCTCATGCGATCCATGGCGCGTCTCAACCATGGCACGCGACACGAGTCGGCTGGCTTGGCATTCCTCTGCATACGGGGCGCTGCGGTGAATTCCTCGTACGTCGATTCAGAGTCGATCTCGTGGAATGCAGCACCATCGAGCGCATCAGTCTGCGAGCCACGAGGCTCGCGAGCTCACCTTTACGTGAGGGCTGGCAGCATAGACATACCACCTCTTCGCGCCAGCCCCTTGAATTGCGCTCTAACGATTGACCGTTGACCAAACGAAGCGCAAGTCACGTCGACTAGCATGTATCTGAGCAGGGCCGTACGTGTACAGCGATAACGAGACCCTACGCCTTCCTCAGCGCCTCAACCTTCTCAACCAACACACTCCACCCCTTGACATCCCCGCCCTCCTCTCCTTCGAACCCATCAAACCATCCACGCACTTCTTTCCGTAGTGCATCATCCCCATCCGCTCTGATCCGTTCAAGCAACTCAGCAACAACAAACGCCCCGCCAGCCCGCGCCATAGCCCGTGTCCTCTCCTTGCCAACAACCTCGACGAATGCCCGAGCATACGCGCCGGCGTCCCAGTTCGGGCTTGAACAGATGGACGATGTGGAGCGCGAAAAGTGGCCGCCCTGTAGGAGCGTCTTGTGCAGACGCGCGACGTGCGGCATGTCGATATCCTCCCCATCCTCCACAGCAAGCGGCTGAAGCAACGCGCGCGCCGCCTCGTCCTTCTCCCCCTCCGCGCTCAGCATGACCTCAAGCACCACCAAACTCCCGCCCGTATCCCTTACAACCTCCGCCCCCTCCTTCGCGACCCAGCCCAGCAGCTCCGGCGACGCCGACGCGCGGACCTCCGCCGCGCGCGCCGCGCGGTCTTTCTTGGACGTCAAATCGCGGATGGGGTCCGTCTCGGAGAGGGTGGCGGATAAAGCGGGGGTGAAGTGGCGCGTGGAGCGCGGGGCGAGGGGGTAGAGCAGCGCGCGCCGGCCGGCGGAGGTTGTGTGCAGGGCTGGCGCGGCGGATGTGAGGGGCGCGACGAGGGATTTTGCGAGGAGTTTTGTGTCGCTGTGACATGCGTGTTAGTATTGAGAGTGGATTTGGGGGAGGAGGGTGGGAGAGGGTGGCGCTTACTCGACGACGTCCAGAGCGGTGAAGAGGACGAGCTGCGCCTCGTCGTCCTTCGCCATCTTCTCCACGTACGGCTTCAGCACCTTCAATATCCCCTTCCTTTGCTTCGCGTCCCCGCGCGCCAGAAACTCTCTCACGGCGCGGCTCCCGTCCTTCGTGTGCACCATCTCGGCGAGCTGCTCCATCGCGCCGTCGAGGAGCTCGGCGCGCAGCTTGCTCGCTTCGGCCTGGTCCGGGAGGGCCGGGAGCGCGGCGAGGTACTCCCAGAGCGCGCGGTGGACGAGCGCGTGCCGGACGGCGCCTTTGTCGGGGTTGTCGAGGACTTGCTGCAGGCTCTCGCGCACGCTCTTCAGCACGCGCTTTTGCTGCTCGACGTCCAGCCCCTTCAGCACCCCGCCCAGCCCCGCGCGCGCGGCGTCTTTGTCCTCTAGCGTGGCTTTTGAGGCGAAGAGGGATGTCTCGCGGCCGTAGAGCTCGCGGACGAGGAGGGCGCGCTCGTACGCGTTTGCGTAGAGCTCGTAGATGTCGGCGAGGGCGCGCGAGGCTTCGCGGTGGAGGATGAGCTTGAGGATGCGCGGTTTGAGCTCGAGGATTATGGAGGTGCGGTGCGTGGGGCAGAGGCGGGCTAGTTTCGTTACCAGAAACTACACTCGTATCAGCATCGAAATATGATAGAGAGATGTAGAAAGAGAGATAGCGAACCTTTGAATACTTATTCTGCGCCAACTCCCTATACCTCCCCTGCAACTCGCCCGCCACCTCGTCCCTGATCGCCTGGTCGCCCCACTTGACGAGCGTCTGCACGACCCGGCTCGCGTCGTGCTTGAACACGATGTCCTGCACTTTCCCGCGCACGCAGTCCATGAGCGCGGCGGTGTGCTTTTGGCGCTCGGGCTTGGAGACGTTTTTGGCGCGCGCGAGGGCCCAGTGCGCTTTGGCGTCCGCCAGGACCGACGCGTGCGGTTTTTGGGAGCGGCGTTCGGCGTGCAGGGCGCGTTGGGCTTTGTGCGATTCTCGGGCGGCTATGAACGATATTAGAATATGAATATATTTGAAAGATAGAGCGGCAAATACCATTGGGATCCTTAACAGCCTTCTCGCCCTCGCCCTCGCCCATCTCCTCATCCTCATCCCTTTCCATAGGCACCTCCTCAAACCCTTCTTCCTCATCCAGATCAGACTCGTCGCTCTCCGCAGGCGCAGCGACGACGGGCCGCGCGCGCTTTTTCTTCTCCTGCGGCTTTTCGCGCTTGTCGAGCGGCCGCTTTTTCTTTGCCGCGGGGCCCGGGGCGGAGAGGGAGGATGGGGGCGCGGAGCGTTTTAGGTGGTTTTTTGGGGCGGCGGGGGCCATGGTGGGAGGTGAGGTGGGGGAGGGAGGAGAGTTGTGAAGAGGAAGAATTTGGCGCGCCGGGCGCAAATGAAGGCGCGTGCGGGTTTGATTGATTGAACGCTTGACTTGACTTGACTTCTACCGCCACTGCGCGCACAACCTACATAGAATCTACATCGTTCGTGACCTATGTTATAGGCAGTAGCTTACATACATACGCGTGTCTTGCGCGCTCGAGTGTGAATGGTGTTATGACTAAGTAGTAGACCATGACGAGCGGGCTACAATAGTTTAGCCTGGGTTTAATCGCCACAGCTTCTGTAGCTGTGGCTCTCGCTGGACACCGTACTGCGCGACTTCTACCACTGTGCAGATTTTTACGTGGTCTACGTGTGGGGGCCTGGCTCACGGAGCCATGCACGGCTATCCTCCTTGTACCGCGCTAGGCAAACAAGACAAGCACCTCCCGTCGATAGAGCCCGTTTCTGCAAGAGGCCAGTAACTCGCGCACGTATACTTCCCACATCTTGCGCGCTTCCCCCCGCGCCACCGCCTCGGGCCTTTGGCGCCCGCCCGCGCTTCCGCGGGCCTGCTGGATTATGTGAATCCGGCAGCTGATGCCGGAGTTCCTACAGCTGCGCCTGTCGCGCGTCATGACCCTCGCGTTCTCTGGACTCGTCCAGGTTGTGCGACGCCCGCTCAGACGGCTCACTGCGGCCGGTCGGAACGCAGGTGCGGCAGTCGCGGTCTCGGCGCTGACCTAGTTGAAGAGTTCGCTGTTGCAAGTCGGCCGGGTCGTTGTGAGGTGTAGAGCTAGGCGCCGAGGATGACGATGAGGGCGTTGGAGAGGCCAGATGATCACTAAGACATCTCTGTCTGCACGTCTGCAATGTTCTACTAGCTAGTACAGGACATCGTTGGGAGTTGTCTACCGAGATGATACACGCCGGGTCCCTCTACGACTCTCTCCAGTACTGAACCATCCGGGCGCCGCGGTGGCCATCTGCCATAGGGGGTATGCCTGGCGTCGGCGTGCCCCTGACGATATCCTCCCCCGTCTGCGGCTGATGCGCAAACTCGTTCCAAAGAGCGTCGCAGCGATGGACTGCGTATCGGGAACGGCGAATGTCCATCCGCTACATACACGGACACCAGTAGCTGGAAGTGCACGTAGGCTATGAATCACCCCAAACTCGAGCGAATGCGAGCGCACAGAAGACGAGCAGGTTCGCGTACGGTCCAACCGACGCCAGGTCCTTCTTGCTGAGAGTTGCGAAACGATCTAGGTTAGTTTGATCGGCGCCCCATACCTCGGGGTCGCTGTAGATGCAGTTCTAGTCCGTGTTCTGTGTTGAGTGGCAAAAGCACGCACCGATGGTACGCGGCTATACATATATCAACGAGCTGGCCTCTCTGAACCGGAATGGAAGATGCCAACTCTCCCGAGACGCTCTTGAACCGGCGCGTGAGGGGTATCGCGTCGTCTTGGCCCGCCTACAAGCTGGTACTCCAGCCAACCAGCGCTAGCATGTCAGAAAGTAACGTGGTCGACGCAAAGCACGTCAGTGCAATGCAGTAGCTGGGAACCGGGATCTAAGAGCGAAGGGGGGGAAGTAGTCTCTCCTAGGCAGCCTCAGCGTCGTCCGCTTATAGAGAGAGAGAATGTAGTACTGGCAGGATCAGAGTAAACATGTCAGTAGTAAACCCCCTGTACGGGAGGCTCGGAATCCCGAGCCGCAAGGTGTTCAACAGCTCGTCATCAGTTGGGCGTTGACAGGTGCAAAGCTACCGCGGGCTTCTCAGCTGTGTAATACGCTTCTCTGTACACCCAGCCGCTACCTCGGACGGACGCTGTGTGGGGTACAGGACTCGGAGCGAAAGTTCGGAAGGGAGGGGGCAAACGGAAAATACGATACTGCCCACTCAGGCGTGCTCAAACATGCCAGGAGTAAAGTCTCGTACGTGATGTGAGTCAACATGCGGCAGGATCGGGAATGATGAAGTCAGCAGGTCTCACGGCCTTTGCACGGCCAGCCGCGCGTCAGCGCGACCTTCGCTCCGGCGCCCACCACCGACAGTTGTACATGCAGCATTGTGTAAACAATACCTCTCTACCCGTAGCAGACTCTTGCTGCATTCCACCGCAAGAATCCGCTAGTCAAAGCGACGGTATCGTGAATCCCCCTAGTCTCGTCCACGTGCGACCCGCCTCGAAATGCGGAACAGCGATAACAGCCTGCATCGAAAGCGCCTTGCGTCTCGAGCGCGCATAGGTCGGCGCCAAGAGTTCGTGAGTATGGCGTGATGCCCGTCATATGCGCACTGTGGTTGCATAAACAGACAGTTTGTGAAGCTCAGAATATTGTCCGTGTACTGCCGCACATTACACAGCACGACAAATATTATGGCGTATGTCGGCGTTAGGGATGTCTAGCCCACTCACTCCCTATCGCGAAACGGATCAAGAGACGCATGTCTTGCGCCTCCAGTCTCAGACCAGTGCTCTTATAAAGGTAGCAGCTCCTGCTGGCTCTACTTTCAGCGACGTTGAATCGACACTCCCAATTGCTATCTGAATCCTCTGTCAATCATGTCCACTTCTGTATTCCTCACAGGCAGCACCGGTGCGTACTTGGGATTTAGTCCCTTGACAATGACACTCGCTTATCTGACGTATGCGCATACAGGCCTCATTGGTGCTTCGGTCTTGCAAGTCATTGCCAAGAACCCCAAATACGTCGTCACGGTCCTCGTTCGCTCTGAGCAGAAGGCGGTCAAGATAGCCGAGCTTCTTCCTGGCGTCAAGACTGTCGTCGGCTCGCTTGACGATGCTGCGCTGCTCACCGAAACAGCCGCCAACTCCGATGTTGTGCTGCAAATCGTCCGTTCCATTCCCCGTAATGCTGTGTATCGAAAGCTCATTGTCTTGATAGGCCGCCTTCCACGTCCCGGGTACCACTGCCCTACTTGCAGGCGCGAAGAAGCGCTTCGAGGCGACTGGTAAGGCGCCGATCTTCATCAACACCTCCGGCACGGGCATCTGGGCCGACCTCGGAGCCAACGGCGCTGCTCCCTCGCGCAAAGTGACGAAAGACACCGACAGCGACCTCGTCCAGACGTTCATTGAATTGCCCCATACACCCCCCACCATGGTCGGCCTCGAGGCTGCAGCGGCCGGATACGTCAAGGTTTTCACGGTTTACCCATCGACTGTTTGGGGCGAGCCGAGTGGTCCGTTGTTCGATAGCGGCGTGGCGCATGTTGGCTCGATCCAGGTTCCGATGTTGATCAAGGAGTCGATCGGTCGTGGCCAGGGTGGTGTTGTAGGCGAGGGCCTCAATGTCTGGAACCACGTTCACATCGATGACAGTACGTATATTCAAACGGGTCACCGCGAAACATTTTGCTGACTTCTGCTATCAGCGACCGACTTTTATGTGCTACTCATCGCGAAGGCTCTCGACGGTTCTGCGCCCGCCGGTCCGACGGAAGGACACTACATCCTTGAGAACGGCTT